TGTCCTGGGGGCCCGGCTGGGATCTGACGTGCAGATCTCTCGGGCTTGGGGGTCTTTGTGTCCCTGTGCCCTCAGGGTCCCTGCTTGGGGGCTGCCCATGACAAGCCCTGGCCTCAGTCCAGTCGCTGTGGACAGCAGCCCTGAGCTCTTCCCTTGAATGCTGGCGAGGGCCTGGCCTCCCCAGCACGGGGGGGGGGGGGGTGCGGGGGGGACGGCGGGGAGTGCTGGAGAGAGCACAGTGGGGAGGGCACTGTGGGGAGGGCTTTGCACATGGCTGACTGGGATTGGGAGTGTGCACATGCGTGTAAAGCATGTGTGTTTGCATGTATGATTCTGTATCATCCATGTGCACATGGGCCTATGTGTTTGTTACATGTAGAGACACGTAGAGGCATGTACTCCAACCTTCTGGCCCACACCTGGTGACGCTCTGGGCTTACTCCTGGCTCTATACTCAGGAAGCACTCCTGGCGGGACTTGGGGGCGCACATGCAGTGCCAGGGTTCGAACTGGGGGTTGACCAAGTGCAGGGCACACTCCCTGCCTATTGACTCTCTCCAGTCCCTAATCTTACTATGTATCTTTTTTGAAGGTTATAAATATTACCTGGCTTTATAATTCCTTGTGCTGGAGCGATAGCACGGAGGGTAGGGCGTTTGCCTTGCACGCAGCCGACCCGGGTTCGATTCCTCCGTTCCTCTCGGGTAGCCCGGCAAATTACCGAGAGTATCCCCCCTGCACGCAGAGCCTGGCAATCTCCCCATGGCATACTTGATATGCCAAAAACAGTAACAACAAGTCTCACAATGGAGACGTTACTGGTGCCCGCTCGAGCAGATCGACGAACAAATCGATGAACAACAGGACAGTGCTACATGTAGAGACACAGGGTGCACATGTGTGCACTTGCATCACGTGTGCTTGTGCTTGTAGATGGAGTGGTTCATTACATGAGTTTGTTCATGTCCATTGAGAGTGTTACTTCGAGGCATTGTTTATGCGCGCATGTGTGTATGTGTACGGTGCACTCACGGACACGTGTATGCATGTGCATGACTGCTGTGTGTGAAATCTTGCTGATAGATGCAAGCATGTCTGTTATCACATGTGCACCTGTGGGTGTACTGTGTATGCATGGCTGTAGATGCACGTAGGTTGAGCATGGCATGTGTGAGCATGTGTGCATGTGTGTGGGGCCAGGGAGGCCCAAGGCAGCGGGAGCGTTGGGTGAGACATCCTGGAGACTCAGTAGAGGTGGGGCTGAGGGGCCCAGGAGCCCTGGGGCCAGAGGGTGGGGGACACGGGACCGGGTGCTGGGCTTCCCATCCTGTGTTCCATGCGGCGTCCAGCTAACATGCATGTCCTTCCCCGGAGTCAGGAGGCCTGGCTGCGGCATTCGCACAGGCGCGTGCCAAGCCCTTCCCCAGCGAGCTGATTAATGAAGCCGCTTCACTCGGTGGCTCCCCACCCCAGCCGCTCCGCCTGGGATGCCTGTCCAGCTGCAGCCAGGGAACTTTCCAGCAGGACAGAGTCGGTGTCCCTGCACCCAGGCCACCCAGCAGAGCGGCAGAAACACAGGACGCGCCCCACAGAGGTGGGGGCCCTGCGGAACAGCCGGGAGACAGCCTCGCTGTGCCCAGGCCTCGCAGCAAGATGCACGCGGGAAGCCCCCACCGCAGCCCGCCCGCAAGCCTGTCTGCTGATGGGGGCGGAAGGGCCGCCAGCTCCCGTCACCTGCCCCGCGCCTCCCTGAAGGCCCCCAGAGCTGCGGTGAGCAGAGCTCCGTGCGATGGCGCCCTCTGCTGGCCACAGGTCTGGACACATGGCGATACATGGGCAGATGGACACCTGGTACTGAGCACATGGGAAAACAGATACCTGGGCACACGGACATGCAGGCACAGGTACGCGGATGGGACGTGGACTGCGACGGTGGCGGCACAGTCACTGGAAGAGTGGGGAAGGCCGTCCCGGCATGACATGCATTGTGCAGACATGTGACTGACCCATGGCAGAGAGGCCTCAGACATGCTGCAAACACGTGGTGGACACTGAGACGCGACTGCATGAGAAACGCCCAAGACATTTGGCCGACGGGCTGCAGAAGGAAGCCGCACCCTGGAGCCAGACACCGCAGCCGCCTGCCCTGTGGACATGCGAGAAGGGACAGAGCAGCAGGGCACGGCCCAGGTGGGTGGGCATCAGGCCACTGAGCACACTCAGACATACTTGTGCACACCTGTAGGCACCTGTGCACACACGCAGACAAACCTGTACACACACATGCATTCAGCTGTGCACACACGGACACACCTGTACACATATACACACCTGTGCACACATGCACATACGCGCACACATGCAGTCACATCTGTGCACACACGCAAACACACCTGTGCACACGCATGAGGCAGAGCCCCTAGAAGCAGCTGCCAAGCCTGTGGCTGGAGGTGGCGCAGAGCAGAGGGGCACACGGCCCGCACACAGCAGCAGCAGCAGCAGCAGCAGCAGCGGGATGGCTCAGCAGAGGTGGAAGTGCCACCTGCCCCCCAGCAGAGCTGTACGAGGATCAGACGGCGGTTCGGGGGACCCTCTCCTGGACCAAGAGGCGGAGTGACCCGTGTTCAGTGGCCCTGAAGGCCCAGGACCGTGTGGATAGTGGAGGGCAGCGGGGAGACGACCTGGTCATGCCCCAGGTTTCTTTTTTTTGCTTTTTGGGTCTCACCCAGTGATGCTCAGGGATCACTCCTGGCTCTTCACTCAGGAATTACTGCTGGTGGTGCCGGGGATTGAACCTGGGTCGGCCACATGCAAGGCAAACGCCCTACCCGTTGTGCTATCGCTCCGGCCCTGTTTTTTTTTGGTTTGGAGGCCACAACTGCCAGAGCTCAGGGCTGACTCCTGGTGGCGCTCGGGGGACCCTGTGGGTACTGGACGGAACTGGGCTCTGTCTTGTGCAAGGCAAGTGCCCTGCCCATTATCCTCTGGCCCCCTGGGTTCTGCAGGCAGAGATAATCCTTAGGGTAGGGCGGGAACGTGGTGCTGGCAGCGGCCAGGCAGCCCCGCCCGAGGGCTTCGGTTAGCCGCTCCTAGCAAATGTCAGAGGTCAGGGGAGGTGACGGGGGCAGTGCAGAGTTCACGCAGCATTTCCCGAGATGGGGCTGCCAGGAGTGGCCGTACCCTTGGGTGCCGTCGCCGTCTCCGCCTGTGGGAATAGGCACATGCGTGTCTTCTGTGCTCACCTCTGGGCAGACACACACTCACCTTCCAGAAAAAGTCAGTCACAGGTCATGGGGAAGCAGGACAGTGGGGCAGGGAGATGACAGGATGGGAATGGGGTCACGGACGTCACAGGTGTTCTGGAAGGCGCAGCACTCGGTTCTTCCAGACTCGAGCTCAGGGGCTGGCGTGACAGCACAGTGGAGAGGGCACTTGCCTGGCACGCGGCGGACAGGGTTCAAGCCTAGGGTCCCCCGAGCACTGCCAGCATGGCCCCCAAACCCCAAGTAAACAGATTCCAGCTCAGTGGCAGACCGCATCCCCACGCCGTGCCCCGTTTCTGCTCAGGCCCTAAATAAATGTGGGGTGCCCAGGGGACAGGGCGGCCAGGTCCACCAGTCTGGTCAAGAGGGAGGTATGTGCCACCCTCACCACAGCCAGTGCCGCCGGGTAGGATGGCCGCGGGGAATGGCTGGACATGAGGCGCGTCCTCCCTCTGGGCACTAAGCAGCAGGACCCAGTCAGGTGGGTGCCCCGACAGCCCCATGAAGCCCCGCAGGGTGAAGCAGGACGGGGCGTCTCTGGGTAGGAGTGGGGTGGGGCAAGCGAGGGGACTGTGGCAGTCAGTGTGGGGTGACACGCATACCCAGGAAGTCTGTGTGGGGTTCAGTGCTGGACTGGGGGCAATTCACCTCCCACAGACACGCGCCTTCTAGAAGCTGGGACGCTCCGAGCTCACGGGCCCAGCACCTGTACTCAGGAAGCTTCCGGTCCATGCACAGGTCTGCCCGGCCCTTCTCATACCAGATCAGACACCAGGAGATTCTCAAATTTGAGTGATCGCGGGCATTTTCCAGAGATTAAGAACTGCACAGCTGCATGGACGCACCACAGCGAGCCAGGATGTGTGCCAGACTCAGCGGCCAAGCCAGACTGTGCTGGTCTCCGAAGGTTGACAGGGAGACCCCTGAGTCACATTCAGGCAGGCCAAGGAGCGCTGGACAACTGGAACCAGGAGACGAGACCCCAAGCACCCCGCTGCTCCCCAAGTTGCAACTTGTTCCCGGCCCCATTCCTGCACACAGGGGCACCTGGTGCCCTGAAGGGACGGTGCCAGGTGCCCTGCCCAGTCCCCGTCTATGTAAAGCAGATGGCCAGGCTCACGGGGCCCTCTGCTCTCGTGATCTTGGTTCGGGCCCTGCTGTGACCCGCCAGCCAGGGAGCAAACAGCTCCCATCCCCTTTCCCTAGGCACCTTCATTCTCCCGGGCTGCAGAGCCACACCTAGTGGCGCTCAGTGTGCCATTGTGCAGGGAGTGACAACCGCATGAAGGCATCTGATGGCAACAGCCGAGTGGGGCAACCCACCTCACCTCAGCTCCTGGGGGTGGGCACCAGGCCAAGCCTGTCAAAACTGACTTCCACAAAAGCATCCCGGTGCCACATGTCCTGCCCAAGCTTTCTGTGACCATATGCAGACCTGAGCAATGGGAGGCTGATAGGAACAGGCCGTCTGCCCTGACCAGGCCCCGTGGCCAGTGGACTGGTAGGACCTCCCGATCCACACTCCAGGCACTCACAGGCACATTGCACCGAGGGAGTCCGAACACGCCTGCGCTCCTGAGCTGCCCTGCGGTGGGCACAGGTGGGCAGGGCTGTCACCCCCTGACCCTGTCCAGCTTGGGGGCTGGAGATGTCAGTGCCAAATGACAGGGGATCCCCGAAACAATGTGTGTTCAAGGGGTCAACTTTCTGAGACCATTTTGGTCATTCTTGAAATCGAAGAGAAACCTTTATTTTCAACAAAACTGCTGAGAAGAGATGGTTCCGTGATCCAATAGGAAAGTCTCTCACCACATACAGCACCAAAATATCTATTTAAAAATGAAAAATCCCACACAGCCCACTTGTCTCACTCATTTCCCAAGCCACTCAGCCCAGACCCAAGGGGACAGTCAAACGCAGCCACACACGGAGTCCTCACAGCAGATCCAACACGGATAGTCTTTCCCAGGAAACAAAGAGCAAACCAGCCGAGGAGACGCACGGAGGGAGGCGCTGTCTGCCCATGCGCAGAAAGCAAGGTCAGGACCAGTGCTCGGGGTCGAAGCGGGCACCCTGGGCGCCCGGCGCCGCAGCTCCCAGCCCTGGCATGGAGCGGCCAGGCAGTCTCCAGCAAACTTCCGGCGTCCATTTCCCAGCGCCCACCGGGGTCGTGGCTCCCTTCAAAGAGGATCCGGGCCGAGAGAAAGAAGGAAAGGAAGGGGAGCAGTCTGCGCCTGGCTCCGGCACGCGGCTACTTGGGCTCCTCGATCACACCCCTGCTGAGGTCTGTCATTTTGGGGTATTTCACTTTCTTCTGGTCCAGCTCATTCTGAGCCCAGAGGAGGAGCTTCAGCAGCTTAGCCAGCTTGGGTGTTGACTCCCGGTTCTCGTAGTCCAGCACGGCCTGGTTCACCTCGCTCCACACCTGGGGCACAGGCACAGTGAGCGGCCCCACGGGTGGGCTGGCCACCGGACTAACACTCCCTCCCCACGGAAAGCCGGGCCCGTGCCCTTCCTGCCCGGCATGGGGGCTCACGGTCACAGGACCTCTGGCCCGGGAAAAGCCAGGAGCCAGGGCAAGTGGGGCTCCGGCTCCATCCTCACGGGCAGGGGAACCTCAGGGAGAGGGGACAGCCGGCGGGAGAGACCGCAGGGCGGGGAGACCCTGTGGGGAGCGGCCACGGGGCTAAGGCAGGAAGGACGGGAAGAGCCTGCCGCAGAAGGTCAAGGCCAGTGGGAGAGCCCCGGCCCGGGCAGGGGAAGTCCGGGCCAGTCTGGGCACTGGGGGGAGTGCCCGGACGGCTCGCAGAGGACGGAGGGACAAGGATGCGCTCCCGGAGGCGCTCACCTTCTGCCGCTGCATCATGTTCAGGAGGTCCCCGAAGGGCGACTCCTCGGGGTTGTCGAAGGCCAGCAGCGCCAGCGTGCGCTCCATCTCCGTCAGGCACTCCCTGCTCTCCTCGCCCTGCTCCGCCAGCTGGGTCTGGGCGAACTCCAGCGCCGCCTCCGTCTCCCGCTGGCGGATCAGCTCGATCAGGTGCTGCTGCTGGATGTGCAAAAGCAGCCGGGCTCAGACCCCGCGACCCCACAGCCCCCGTGGCGCGCATCGCGCGAGAGCCGAGCTCTCAGCCCCTCCTCTCAGCAGACCCTGCGCCGCCCCCTACTCCCTACAAGCCCTGGGCACCTGCTGGCGGCCAGCATCCGTGAGATGCTGCGTTTGCAACCCCCAGCACCAGCAGGAGTGGCCCCCAGCACAGATCCACGTGTGGCACTCACCCCACTCTGGAGGGGGACGCCTGGGACTGCTGAAGACCAGCCCAGCTGGTGGGGAAGGGGCTTTCCTTGCAAGAAGCTGACTTGGGTCTTATTCCCAGCCCCTCTGGGGTCCCCCTGAGCACAGAGTCAGGAGTAAACCCTGAGCATCCTGGGTGTGGCTCACCCCCACCCCAAACCACTCCCCCACACAAAAGAACCATTTCTGAGACATCTAACAGCTGACTCCTGCATCGTCCCTTTCCCAGTGCAGTTCAGCCTTGTCACTGGGGCTGTCACGAAGGTGCCCTCCGAGCTGGGCCTCCCAGCTTACTTGCAGGTGGAAATACAGGTAGCGGTTTGTGTCCAGGAGCTCGGGGTGGAGACTGTTGACCAGGGCGATGGCCTCCTGAATGTGGCCTTTGAGGATCATCTCCCGGATCTTGATGCGCTCATCCAGCGTCTCCAGATCCACGCTGGGCTCGATTCCGGACTCCATACGGAACTTCTCTGCTGCTTCTTTGAAGCCTTCTGAAAGCAAACAAGGCCCAGCTTTGCTGCGTGCAGAGTCGGCAAGACATTGGCAGTCTTTCATCTCTAGCAACCCTTCACCCTGGTTGAGCACCTTCTGCACGAACGAAGCTTTCCTAGGCTTGGGTGTTAGTATCAGCGATTCACTAGTGATGCCCCTGCAGTACAGAAGGGAGAGGCTCCCCAATCTGAGCGGCCAGAGCGCGCTGGAGGAGGGACAGCAGGTCAGGAGAACGGCCGGGCACCCACTGACTCTCGACATCAAAGCCAAGGTGCAGTGCCCCTGGGGCAGAAGCTTCGGGGAGGCTCCTTTGGGAAGGAACGTCCACAGGCGGGGAGGGCGACCCACGCCCCAGCAGACCGCTTCTGTCTCCTGTTCCTGTCCTTCCTCCTCCCCGCTTCTCAACTGGGCCACGCTTCCGGGAGCGCTTTATCAAACTCACCAGACTGGCCAGGAGAGCACAGACTTGGCTGTAACACGCTTTCGAACAGTTAACTTCCCCGATGCAGAGTCGGGGAGGCGGGTGTGGCCTGTGTCAAGTGCCTGCCTCCCACATAAGGCCCCGGACGAGCATGGGCGATGGTTCATCCGTGGGCAAGGCGACACGCGCTCCAGGCTTCATCTTCCCAGGCTTCTTCCCTCCCTCCCAGTCACATCTGCTGGCACCCAGGAGCTCCTCCCACCCTGTGCTCAGAGATCACCGGAGATGGAATCTGGGCTTCTCACGTGCAAATCAAGTGCTCGGCCCAGGAGCTCTCCCCTGCTCCAGACCCCAGAACGGGCCCCTGCCCCGGCCTTTGGCCAAAAAAAATAGAAGACAAACAAACCAAAAAGCCAAAAAACAGCCCAGTAGTGAACTCCTGGCCACAGCTGGTGGTGCTCAGGGCTTCCTCCCCGCCTGTGTCTGCCTGCAGAGGTCACTCCTGGTGGGCTCAGGGACCCACACGTGGTGCCAAGACTGAACCCAGGTCAGCAACACACAGAGCAAGTCCGTGCTGTCCCCCCACTCGGATCTCCGCCTGCGGCCAGGCCTGGCAGAGCTCCAGCTGGGAGCACCCAGGAAGTGCCTTACCAGACCCTGGACGATCTCTCTGGCCCCAAAGGAGGCGGCTTGCGACGGGCACCGGGCAGATGCCTGGACACACCTCCCCGCGGGGTCTCCCCGGAAACGGCTAACTGCGTCCACGCAGGGAGACTCCGACTCCGGAGGGACAGCGGTTACCTGTGACCAGGTAGTTCATGATGAGGCGGTTCATGTCCGCGCGCTGGACGTGCAAGTTGTTGAGCTTCTCCATCCACTCGTCCTTCGTGATCTCGTCGGGCTTCTCCGCGTAACTCATCCTGGTCTCTCTGCGGGACACGCTCGCCTGAGGATGCGCCCGGAGCCGCGAGCGCGCGCGGGGGCGGGGACCGGGCGGGGCTGGGGCCGGCGGGACCGTGGGGAACACGGGCGGGGGCGCGAGCCCCGGCCGAGGCGCGGGGAGACCGAGCCGGGCCGAGCCCCGGGGCCCGCCACACCGGCCGGGCCTGTCCCCACGCCACGCGCCAGCCGTGTCCGCGCGGGCGCGGGGCGCCGGGGTGACGCGATCCCGGCCGGCGCGGGCGCCCGGAGGAGGCGAGGGCCGGCGGCGGGCGCGGGCGCGAGGGGCGAGCGGGCGACCCCCGGGCCCGGCCCCCGGCGCCCGCCCGGGCGCGCGCCCACCCGCCGCGGTGGCTGTGGCGCGGCGCCCCCCCTCACGTCGGCGGCGCCCGTCAGCGGCGACCCGGCGGCACGTGGCGGGACGCGGCGCGACCCCGCCCCCGGCCCCGCCAACCGCCGCCGCCGCGGCCCGGCGCCCCCCGCCCCCGCCCGCCGCCGGCCGGCCCGCCCCCCGCCCGGCGGCCCGCGGCCATCTTACCGTGCGGGCCCCGCGTCCCGCGCTGCGCGGAGTCGCGGCCGCTCGGGGCCGGCCGGCCGGCGGGCAGGGGCAGGGGCGGCGGCGGCGGCGGCGGCGCGGGAGACGCGGCCGAGCGGGGGCCGCGGCGGAGGCGGGGCGGGGGCGGGAGCGGGCGGCGGGCGCAGCGGCGGCCGCCCCCTCAGCCGACTCTCGCGAGACGCGAGCCCGCGAGCCCGCAGCCAATCGGGGCGCGCGCCGCCGGGCCCGCCCCCGGAAGCGCCGCGCTGCCGCTTCCGCTTCCGCGCCGGCGCACGGCGGCCGGCGGCGCCTCGCGCTACGGGTTGGCGCGAGAGTCAAACGCGCCGCTCGGCCCCGGGCCAGACGGCCGCCGCGGAGGCGGCGCCGGGAGCTCGCGCCGGCGGCCGCTCGGACTCGGAGGCGAAGGGCTCGGCGTCCTCCCCGTCGTCTGCGTAAGGCCCCGGCCGGGGCGGGGCGCGGGGCGGGCGCGGGAGGGGGCGGCCGGGCGCGCGCTGGGCCTGGGGCGCGCCCGGGGGTCGCGGCGTCCCGGCGGGGTCGTGGCCGGTCCGGCCCCGGCCGTGCGCGTCGGGCGCTCGTGGTCGCTGCGCCCGGCCTGCGGCCGTGCTGGCGTGGGCGGGCCCCTTCCCCGCGACCGGCGCCCCCGGGGTCGGGAAAGGCCAGCGGCGCGCCGGCGAGGGCCTCCCTTCCCGGGCCGCGGGCTGGGCGCAGGCCCCCACGGCGTCGTGCTGGGGGCGGCTGGGGAGGGTCGCCCCTTGCCCCCGCCCGGGCTTCCCCCGCTGGACCCGCGGCCTGCTCGGGCGGACGGTCCGGCCGGACCCGCGCGGGCTTGGGCCGCCCCGCGTGCGACCGGCGACGCCTGGGTCGGGGCGCCAGGCCCCCTCCTCCCTCTCCGCTGCCTGCCCGCCCTGCGGACGCGGCCGGAGCCGGGCGGGCACTGCACGTTTCTTCTTGCAGTCCTGGCAGCGGTGGGGCTCGGGCTGGTCGAGGGCGTCCGCGCGGCTCCTCGCACCCTTTCGCGTGCACCTTCGGGCTTCGCCCTGCACCTCGGGGTCTGGTGTCTCGGTGTCGGGGCCCACCCCGTGTACCCTTGCTACGGGGCGCTGGGATTTGCCTCTTACTGTTTCTCTGACCACCGAGATCACACCTTTTGTTTGTCGGGGGGCCACACCCGGCGGTGCTTGGGGCTCCTGGCTCTGCACTCCCGTCCAGGCTCAGAAGACCCTCTAGTGCCAGGGGTCGAAGCCTTGTTGGCCGGGTGCAAGGCCAGCGCCCTTCCTGCTCTGCTCTACAGCCTCTGTGACGAGACACCTTTCTGGGGTACTTGGGGGTACAAACACCGATCTCTTGCCGAGGAAAGATCTACTGTGTTTGGATTTGGGGCCTCATCCAGTCCACCTAGCTGTTGCTCAGAGTTTCTTCTTGCAGTCCTGGCAGTGACGGGGGAGCCTGTGCAGAGCCAGGGATGAACCGGCGGCAGCTCTGTGCAAGGCGAGCTCTTTCACCCCTGTGCAGTCCTGAAAAGGAAAGCTTTTCCCAGTTGTTTCCCCCCTACACACGTTTGTAACTTTACCCCTTTTGCTGGGTGAACCCAGAACCATGCATGCAAAGCTTGCCCTGTATTAGTAGGGTTTTGATTTTGGGGCCACTCTGGAGGCCCTCAGGTTATTCCTGGCTGTGCACTCAGGAATCACTCCTGGCGGGCTTGGGGGACCATATGGGATATATGGGTATGGGTGTGGGTACCATATGGGTGTGCCAAGGATCAAGCCTGGGTTGGCCATGTGCAAGGCAAGCACCTTACCCGCTGTACTTTCGCACCGTCCCCTGGCCTCCAACCTTCTGTAAAGATTTGCAAGATTTTATTTCCTCAGATTTTGAAATAACATTCCTTAATGCTGGCTTTTGGCCATACTCAGCTGTGCTTAGGGCCTACTCCGGTTCTTTGCTCAGGAATAACTCCAGGCAGGCTCAGGGGATGGTGAGGTGTCTGATCCCTGATAGCATGTGAGGTATCAGGGATTGAACCCCGGTTGCCTGCATGCAAGGCAAGTGTCTTCCCTACTGTATTCTCTCTCACAATTTTTCTTTTTGTTTCTGGGCTGCACCTAGCTGTGCTCAGGCTTGTCCTGGCTCAGTGATCAGGGATCACTCCTGGCGGAGATCGGGGGACCATGTGTGGTGTCCGGAGGTGAACCTGGGTCGACTGCATGCAAAGGTCCTACCCGCTCTACTATCACTGGTCTTCCGGGCCCAATTTCTAAATTTGGGGGGGATAGGCGCACACCTGGAAATGCTCAGGGGATGCTCAAGGGTTATTCCTTTGCTCAGCAATCAACTGCTGGTGTTTGGGGGACCATATGGGATGCTGAGAATTGAACCCTGGTCAACTGCATGCAAGGCAAACACCCAACCTGTCGTCCTGTCACTCTACTCTGGCCCTTCCAATTTCTGAATTTTAGAAGCTCTTGGTTTTGTAACTCAAAAGTTTTCCAGAATTAGAACTGTACCTTATGGTGTTAATTTGTGGAAATTCAGAATAAAGTTTTTTGGGTTTCTCTAAGAGATCCCTAACCATTCAGCCTCTAGATTCTGTTCGATGTTTCCTTCCGGTATGCTCTCATTTAATATCCTTGCTGGGTTTCTGGAAACTGACTGTAAGCCAAACCAGGCAGAAGGAACGGGATCTTTTAATAAAACACTTTGCTGACCGGATCTTTCACCGGGATTTTGCCCCTCATTCCCTTGTCCTGAAGCTCCTTCCCACCGGGCCTGGAGCTTTTCGACTCCTCACGCTCCTGTTAGGTTGAGTGACCGGCAGAGCTGGCCTCACCCTGCTGGTCCCTCGTAGACAAGCCTAAGGCTGCTCGCTGCTCAGACCCTCCGGAGGGACTGGAACCGGTGCCCCCTAGAGGCTCCCTGCTCGCCGGCAGGCCTAGGCATCGCGTGATGGCCTTGGGCCCTGTCCTCCCATTCCCTTTGCTGCACTCTGGTCGACGGAGTGGCCATCGGGGTGCATGGTCTGGCGCACAACTCCTTCCTGCACGCCTGCCTCTCGCCTTTTCACTGGGTAAGTTTGCCTTCCAGTTCCCAGAGGGAACCACCGGCGGAAATGATGCTCCGGGAAGGCTCACGGTTACCAAAAGACTGCACCGCAGCACTGTCACACGTCTTCCCGTTGTTTATCCATTTGCTCCATTGTGAGACTTGTTACTGTTTCTGGCACATCAAATATTCCACGGGGAGCTTGCCATTCTCTGCTGGAGCAATAGCACAGCGTGTAGGGCGTTTGCCTTGCACGGGACCAACCTGGGTTCAATTCCTCTGTCCCTCTCGGAGAGCCTGGCAAGCTCCCCATGGAATATTCAGTATGCCAAAAACAGTAACAAGTCTCACAATGGAGATGTTACTGGTGCCCGTTCGAGCAAAATACTGCTATGGTCATAATTTTTTTGTTATTGTACCACACACAGTTGTTCTCGGGACTTTTTCCTCCTGGCCGTGCCCAGGGAACCATCTGCGGTGCTAGAGATTGAACCCTAGGATTTTTTTTTAAGTTTTGGGGCCATACTCGGCGATGCTCAGGGCTTACTCCTGGCTCTGCACTCAGGGATGACTCCTGATGGTGCTCTGGGAACCATATAGGATGCCGGGGATTGAGTCTGAGTTGGCTGCTTGCAAGGCAGGTGCCCTAGCCACTTCATTCTGGCTTCTTGGTAGTGAAGTTTTGCTGAATTCAGGGTAACTTGAACATAGCATAACAGAACATTTGTCAGCAGAGGTGGGGAAATCTATGTTCTGCTCAGCCCTGTGGATATTTATAGTGCCATTCTGGGCCCTACAATACGGAGGGCCTTTGGGCAGGCAACGAGCATTTGTGTCAGGCCCACTATGTACCAAGGGTCAGACCACAGGGTTTTGTGGACCTTATATATCTATACTGCAGTGGGGGCCTGAACAGTCCCTGCCCCTGTACTGGGGGGGGGGGTTGGACATTTTGGATGGAGGTGTTCATTCTGGTTTACAGAAATAACAGCTCTGCTCTTGGCTAGAGAAGCACCTCACATTCCTTCTCCAGAGAAGGCTCTGCCTGGTGTCAGGTGGCCTGGGGCAAGGCCTTGGGCCCGGGTTCAGAACGACAGGCAGGGGTGATAACCTTCTCCCCTATGCCCTTCGTTTAGTTAGACTTGTAGTATTTAGAATTGACCATTTGCCTCCTTTTAAATATATAAAATAGCCATGATCTAAAAACTTTGAAAATTTCATTGAAGCATGTCAATTTCAGCATCTTCTTGCAAGGAATGTTTTAGCTAAGAAAAAAGTAACTGGTGAGGATATATATATATATAACAAGCGCTCAGTGGTAGAGCACTTGCCTTGTATATGTGGGACCCTGAGTTCAATCTTTGGGTGTTTTTTTTTTCTTTCTGGGTCACACCCAGCTATGCACAGGGGTTACTCTTGGCTCTGCACTCAGGAGTTACTCCTGGCGGTGCTCAGGGGACCATATGGGATGCTGGGAATTGAACCTGGGTTGGCCATGTGCAAGGCAAACGCCCTCCCTGCTGTGCTCCAGCCCCTGAGTTCAATCTTTGGTACCACAAAATAAAAGAATAGGGCATTGAGTAGTTAGATCAATACTACATGAGTATCTAGTCTTTGCAATAGTTACTAAGGCAAAAGATTTTAGTTTTTTAGCCTAAGACCCTAAACGGCTGTGGTTCCCCTTTGCTATGCAGGCACAGCCCCCAGCGGGCAGCTCCAGGCCTCAGGGTCAGACCCCGGGTGAATTCTGGCCACTGCACCTGCGGTTCCCCTGCATGCACCCTCTGCAGCTCTGGCCAGCTCACTTCACTGGCTGTGTCCATCTTATTGCTGCTCAGATGTAGGTGGGGAATTCGGTCTGCTGGTGCTGAGTGGTCTGTGTAAGAGATCCGTGCTTTGCCTGGTGGCCACAGTCCAGTGCTCCTAGCTCAGCCATGGTGGCTGGTTTGTCTTGTCCCTGCTCAACCAACCAGTGACCTGACAAGGTGCAAAAGTGATTTGATTCATGAGTTTTTCGGGACAGTGATTGAACTGTTAGCGGTTTCAGAATATTTGCATTCCCAGGTGGTACCCTTGGTCCTCTGCCTCCTTCCACAGTGCTTTCAGCCTGGCTGCCTGTGTCAGGGGCAAGCAGCCCCCCGCCCCCCCGCGGCCCCACCCGAGTCATGCAAAATGGTGCCCACTTCCGCACCGGCCGCTGACAGCCTCGGTCTGTTGAGGATCAGGTTTGGAAGAGCCCTACAGCCTCCCTCCAAAGCGCCGCTCTCCCCCGCGCTAGCAGGCAGGCACAGGGAGTACAGAGATCGAGTGCTTGGCGCTTGATCCTTTCCTGGGTCCATCTGGTTTCTCCAGTGGGCTGGGACCCTGGGCCTTGCCTCCTTTGGGCCTGAGAAGACATGAGCGTTGAGATGCCTTTGTTCCCAGCGTGGAGCTCTCAGGCCTTGGGGTTGCATCTGGCCTGTGGATCTCCCCCACGCCACCAGGCGCTTCTCAGCTGCTCTGAACCGGCCTTGAAGCCGGGCTCCCCGTTCTGTTTCTGTTCCCCGTCCTCCTAGTCCCCCTCGTCGTTTCCACGGACTCTGATGGACTCTGGCCTTTGTGCTGGAGTTGTTTAGGGAAGAATTTGAGACAAATGGAGGTGCCCCCTCCCCTTTTGAAATTTCTCCTTACGCTTTATATATACACTGTGGTTTACAGTCAGTATTCCAACACCAACCCCACCCTCCCCTTCGGCTCCCGGTGTCCCAGCCCCCTTGGAGCCTGCCTTTTAAGTGGGCTTGCTCCTCGGATTGCACGCTGGCGGGGGCGCGGGAGACTGCTCCTGGCTGGCACTCAGGGATCCCTCCTGATGCTGCTCGAGGGAGCACAGGGGGTGCCAAGGATTGAACCCGGGTCAGCCAAGTGCGGGGTAAACGCCCTGCCCGCCGCGCAGTCGCTCTGGCCCCCCCGATTTAACTGCTGGCCTGGGGAGTGTCCGGTCCCACTTCAGAAATGCCTCTCCCCAGGGCGGGAGCGCTCCGTGAGGACAGCCGGAAGTACCCCTGGGGTTTCGAAGGGACACTAGGGTTCCCAGGCAGGGCCCGGCCCCGTCCGTTGGGGGCCGAGCTCGGCGCGAGTGGCCTTTCCGCCCCGGGCCGCTTCTCGCGGTGGGGGTGCAGAACGTGGGCGGCCGTGTGGCCCTGTCCCCGGCCCCACCCCTGCGGACCCTCCCGTGGAGTCCGGGGCCGGGCCTGGCTTCCGCCCGGGGCGCGGAGTGTGCGCGGCCGCTCTAGCCCGCTGCGTCTCGGTAGCTTGTGTTGGCCCGGGGCGCCCGCACGCCGCGACCGCTCTAGCCGGCTGCGTCTCGGTAGCCAGTGTTTTCCTTGGGCCCGGGGCGCGCGCACGCCGCGGCCGCTCTAGCCCGTGGCGTCTCGGTAGCTTGTGTTTTCGCGGGGCCCGGGGCGCGCGCGCGCCGCGGCCGCTCTAGCCCGCGGCGTCTCGGTGGCCGCGCCGACCCCGCCCGTCCGCCCACTCGGCGGCCGCGCTCGGAGGAAATGGCTGCGAGACCCTCAAGGCCTGCGGCCCGGTGAGTGGCCTGCGGGGCGGAGGCGCCGGCCGCCGCGGGCGCCCACGGGCCGGCGGGCCGGCGGGGCCGGGCCGGGGCCGGGGCCGGCGCCGGCGTCGGACCGGCGGGCCGCGGCGTCCGCGCCGGCCTCGCGCGCTGAGGAGAGAAGATGGCGGCGGGCGGGCCTGGTGGTCGCGGCCGGCGCCCCCGCTGCCGGGGCGCCCGCCGGGCTGCTGCGGGCCGGGCCGTGGCGGGAGCGGAGCGGAGCGTCGCGTCGCCGTCGCTCGGGCGCATCACAATGGGCCGCGCCGGGCCGGGCGGGCCGAGGTGCCGGTTCCCGTCGGGGCGGCGGGCGGGAGGGCAGCGCCGCCCGGGAAGCTCAGCGGGGGCGTGGGGGGCGCAGGTGGGGCTCGGCGGCGCCTGCGGGGGGCCGCCCCGGGGTGCTCGGCCGGCCTGCCCGTCCCCGGCTGTGGCCCGCGGCTCCGCTTGGGGCCCCGGCGTCCTTCCCTCCGCCCGGCCCGGTGCCCGGGTGGGCGTCGCGGCGGGGTCGTGCTCCCCGTCACCTCGAGCCGGGGTCCCGCTCCGGGCTCCCGGCTCTGCGCCCGCCCGCCCGCCCGGTGCCGCTCGCACCCCGACCTGAGCGTGTTTCTGCCGCTGCTCGCGGGTCCGAGCGCCCTGGCCCGGGAGGCGCGCGGGGCGGCCCCGCAGCGGCGGTCGCGTGATTCGCGCGTGGCGTCAGGGGAGCGACCCCGTCCGGCGGGGTCCGGCGGCTTGGCGAGCCGAGGGTCGGTGGGTGCGTTTCGTGGGTGCTGGCGTTCCTCCTGTGTCTTCGTGGGATGTGCGGGAAATTCAGACGGGGAAAAGTAGGAGGGCAGAGACAACAGACATGGGCCCTGGGCCCCAGACCCGCCGCCAGGCCGAAGGTGGGCATGGTGGGCAGGCTCGCAGGTCTCCCATCCAGAGCGGGAAGGTCGAGGAAGGGTGGCTGCCGCCCGCTCACATCCGTGGCCGAGCAGGCCAGGAGGCCCCTGGCCGCCAGTGCAGCCCTCTGCCTGGTAGACCGCGTATGTGCGTGCGGGCATCTGCTCTCCCGCTTGTGCCACCCGCCGCCCCGACTTGATTTAATCATGGTGGGCGCCTCGGCCCACGGCCGGAGTGGATACCTCATGCTGGAGGCCGGGGTTCATCCGTTCTTTTCTGTTGTGTTTTGTTTTTTTGGTTCATCAGTCCTTAACATCCGTGATTGTGTGTTCCTCCCCATCGTCCAAGCCAGGAATCCTTAAGAATTGCTGGTGTGTGACCCAAAAACTACAAATGAGGCATTGAAATGAGCTCAAAAATTGATAAGCACTTGTGTATTAACGCACACGACATGGTGATTGTTTTCCAAAACAAAAACATCGGTGGGCATGGTGACATCTTTTTTAATGTTCGGCTCCACTGACAACAGCCAAAGTTGGCATTTACTTCTGGGTTACATTTGCTGAAAACTGCTATTAGAGTAAGTAATATTGTCCCGCTGCAATGGACTTCAGGCTACCGAAAGGGTCTCCATCGCACTTGAAAACCTCTGACCCATGTCCTAACTTCTTGATCTGCCAACTGCAGTGAAAGGTTTCTGAATGCCACTGCCAGTAATTGAAAATGAAACAGGAAGTGAATCCAAGGGCTTTCTGGCGCCCTCACCTGTGTTGCTTTTCCTGGGGGGAGGGGTTGTCTTTGGGAAAAGGTTAGCCTTCCTCTAGTTAAAGATTAGAAATGTGCTTATCGTGGTAATGAAATTAAAGTTCCTTCCAGACTTTACCCCTGGGGATTGGGTCACCCGTGAGAACTCGACGGTGTTGGCAATGTGCCTGCTTTGTGGAGAACAGCGTAGACGGCACTCACAGCACGCTGTTCCCTGTCTCTGCCTCTGCAGGGGTGGCCTGGAGCAGAGCTTGGCTTTATTTCAGCCTCTTGCTGATGCAGCACGGATGGGGTGTGGTGGCCGGTGTGGGTGCTGCAGAGTGAAGTGGGGCCCCCATTTGGTGCTGGGGCCAGAGTAAGCTTTGGAGGATCTAAAACAGTAGGTTGGCCAGCGGGGTATTCTCTGGAGGGTTGGCCTCTTTTCCTTCTGGTGGTCGTAGGTGTGAAACCCAGGGCATCGCACAGAGTGCTAGGCCACTGAGCCCTGAGCCCAGGCCAGGATCAGCATTCCTGATGAACAGCTAGAGTTAATAACTCTCCCAGCCGCCTCTGTCAGAGAAGAAGCCTGTCCAGGAACCTTATCCTAGCGTTACCTTGGGCATCTCTCAGGAGCTAGTCTTGGCTCGCACAGCAGCTTTCTCTTTTTTTGTTTCTTGGTTTGGCTTTGGGACCGTTGGGGGGTGCTCAGAGCTTACTCCTGACCGGGTTTGGGGGACCATGTGTGGTGCTTTGTCTCAAACCAGGGTTGGCTGTAGGCCAAGGCGAGTTCCTTACCTCCTGGACTCTCTCCAGACCTTGTGAGTGACTCTTGTTCTTCATAGGTGTTCAAATAAATGAAATCAGGGATTTCTGTTTCGTGGACTTTGTGTTTCTTGTTTCGAGGCATCCCCTGCAGTTCCTCACAGCTCCTGGCTTGTGGCTGGGGATCACTAGGCCAGGTGGCATGGGGGATCACACCTAAGCCTCACATTTGTGAAGTTGCTCTCCACCCCGTTGAGTCATCTTCTGGGCCTGTCCTCCTCCTGTGTTTGGGCATTGGTGGGGAGAGAAGAGGGTCAGGTCAGCCTCAGCTTTGGCTACTGCCTGGAAACTACTAAGGCCCAGATTCCTGGACACAGCTAGTGGCCCAAGATTTTGGGGCACGTTCATAAAAACTGACTTGTAAAGGTGTTTTTAACTGGAAAACCTTCCTTTCTGTCTCACTAGTTTCTCTCTCAGAAGAACGCCGGGCTAACATCTTGCTCCCTCCTCATCCAAGTAAATTAGAGTTGTGGCGCGCATGACCTGTTATACCAAATATAAACATCAAAATATAACGAGCTTTGGCCTACCCAGTCAGGAAAGCTCTGAGTTCGGCATGCCCGGCAGCCAGGTGGTTTCTTGCAGTGGCTCTGATTTCTGACTCCTGCTGAATATTGTTACCAGATCATAGTTGGGGTCCTGTGAGGGTTCTGAGCTGGGGGACTCCAGGTATCTGTGTAGATGCGTGACACTCATGTGTACCTGGTTTCTCCTGGGAGCTGCCGTGACAGTAAGCCCCAAGTAGTGTCAGAGGGCAGTTAAAGGGCACTGCACTGACTACAGTGACTCACTAGGGTTTTGTCCTGTTGGGCCACACAAACTGCTGCTTGGGGCCTGGATTACGGAGTTCTTTGTTTATTTTTGGGCCACACCTGGCGGTGCTTGGGTTATTCCTGGCTCTTCACTCAGGAATGGCACCTGATGGTGCTTGGGGGATCATAATGGAATGCCAGGGATTGAACCCTGGTAGGCTGTGAGCAAGTGCAAGGCAGATACCTTACCCTTACTGTACTATGGCTCTGACCCCCACAGAGTGTGATGGTTTTTTTTGTTTTTGTTTTGGTTTGGTTTGATTTTGGGGTCACACCCAGCCATGCTCATGCTTAAGGTTTACTCCTGGCCCTGCCAGGAGTACTCATGGTGGTGCTCAGGGTACCATATGGGATGCTGAGGATCGAACATGGGTCTCCAGGTGCAAGGCAAATGCCCTTCCTCCTGTACATTTTTGGGAGGTTGTTCGTATTTGGTTTTGTTGTGATCCACTTCTAAAGGAACATTTTACTGAGTTAGAGAATCTAAGAAACTGTAGAGGTTATTACAGATTTTGTTTTTGGACCACGCCCTTAGTGCTTGCTCCTGGGTCTAGGTCTGCATTCTGGGGTCACTCCTAGTGGGGTCAGGGGAGCGAGCACATGGGATGCCAGGGATTGAACACAGGCTAGGCACATGCAAGGCAAACACCTTACCCATTGAACTGCCTCTAGGATCTCCCCCCCCCCCAGTAGATTCTTAAATGATAGAAATGGTACATTTAAAAAGTACCCTGTGTGGGGCCAGAGCTACAGTGTGTCATGCGATTGTCTCACATGCAGCTAGCTTGGCCCTCCAGGAGTCAGCACTGCGAGGTGTGGCCCAGAAACAAAAAAGTTCAGTGAAGCGCTGGCAAGTGCTCCGAGATAACCAGCCTTGCGTGGTAGTGGACACGCTGGGCTGCAGAGCAGTAGCTTCTGAGCCCAGTGGTGCCCACCCTGGCCTCTGCACTGTGTGAGAGGGAACTGCAGGCTTCAGATTCGGTGTTTCCACTCATTCTCTCAAGGAAGCGCTTGAGGGATTTGTGGCTCATAATAAAAATTGTGAAGTTTTAGGGACTGGAAATCATAGTACAGCGGGTGCCTTGCCCGTGGTTGACCTGGATTCAATTCCCCAACACGTGGATGTACCCCCTAGCCCTTCCAGGAGTAAACTCCGAGGCCCCCAACGGGGGGAAAAAAATTAAAAACCAGAACCAAACCAGACTACTACTACAAAATTTCTGTCATTCAAAACTTAGAAAGTTTTGACAGTTACAGATGTTGAGGGAAAGTGTAACTCTTTTGCTTTGTCTAATAACATTTCCCAGTTGCTCAGACACACGTGTGTTCAGTGTGTGAGACAGACTGGCTGGCAGGTGTGTCAGAAAGTGGTCTTGGTGGGTTGGCAGATACACGCTACTCTCTCTTTGGAGGTCTGACTTAGTATCTGCCAACAGCCACGTTGGACTGAAGTATCGGTGAGGTCGTCCGTCTGATAGATCAGGAGCAGAGGTTTGGGGACACACCCAGAAATGTTCAGCTTTACTCCTGGCTCTGCTTGGGGACCCTTCCTGCCGGGGGCTGGGGGGAGCAATGCGTCCCCCCGGGGAATCCGGCCCACGTGGGCCGCGTGCAGGGCAAGCACTCGGCCTGCCGCACTGTTTCTCCAGCCATCAACTACTGCTTTTTTCCTTCAGGAAATCCTTTCACTAAAGTGTGAAGTGGGGGCCTTAGTGATGGTACAGCGGGGAGGGTGTTTTGTCTTGCACGCAGTCAACCAGGATTGGAACCCAGGCATCCCATATGGTCCGCCGAGTGTTGCCAAGAGTGACGCTGAATGCAGAGCCAGGAGTAACTCCAGAGCATCTCCAGGTGTGGCCCCAAAATAAATCAAAGCAGCGTTAAGTGGGGGGCTAGGTCAGGGAAGGGACAGCCGAGACAGTGTGGTCACTCTGGATGAGGACTGGATGCTGACAGGAGATCGGATGATGTGCAGGAGACCCTCTTCTACTGGGATTGGAACCCACAGTGCCTGGGGCAAGGAGGAAGATAAAGGGAAAAGTCCACCTTCGAGGCAGTTAGGGGAGGGGAGGCGGAGGGAAGCTTGGGACTCGTTTGATGAAGGGATTGATGTTGGACTCAGGCATAAATAACTTTAAACTCAGGATTCAGTTGAAAAGCAGTTTAAAAAACGTCTACATGTAGTAGGGTTTTTTGGTAATTTTGGCTTTCTCATTTACATTTTGGGAATATCAATAAAACAGTCCAGATAAACAGAAGCTCATTGTGGGTTACTCCATTTTTGGAGCATGAAGGCCTTTGAGACCAAAAGGTTTGCACGCCGCTGCTACTTGGCAGGGAGGTGGCAGGTAGGCTGTGTCGTCCTGTTCTGAGTGACTTTGGCCACGTGGCTCCGTGGTGTAGACACTAGAGTTGAAAAATTCTGGCTTGGATAAATCCTCTTAACACCTTGGTTCCTTCTAACTGGTAGGAGATGGAGTTTTCTGTTGGGAGGACATTTCCGTGCAGAAGTGTCGAGAGATCATTTAAGATGATGTGCAGGTGTCTCTGGGGCTCTCAGCTCGAGAGAGAAGCCTCTCCTGGGGGGGAAGGGGCGCTGTCAGAGGACCCCGCTCATAGCTCCAGTCTGCACAGCTGTCCATGAAATCCTGCTGCAGGAACTCAGGACAGTTCCTTTGGCTTTGGCCTTGATTGCAGATGGTTTTGGTCCTTGTTGCGTGCTTTGGATCCTGAAGTTCTTACTTCGATTTTCGGTGTGTTGAGGGAGGGCTGCTGGCGCTCTTGAGTACCGGGTGCAGTTCAGGGGACAGAACCCACATCCCCTCCCTGCTGGCCTGTGCTCCAGCCCTTGAAGACCTCTGCCTGGCCCGTGAACTGAATTGTTTTAGAATTTATTTGAAAAAATAGTGAATATAATGAATTTTCCAAATATTAAGTCAAGGTGAATGAAATGTTAGAAATGATCTGAATATTCGGAATATGTACTTTGATCTCGTTCCATGTCATAGAGGTTTATTCCCATCTGTGAAGCAAATTAGTTTTTTTGGTGGGGGAGGGAGGGAGAGCACACCCAGTGATGCTTAGGGGTTACGGGTTGCAGTTGGCTCTGCACTCAGGGATTACTTCTGATGGTGCTCAGGATGCGAGGAATCGAACCTGGGTGAACCGAGTGCAGAGTAAGCACCCTCTCCTCTCCCCTGTGCTGTCTTGGAGCACCGCCAGGAGGGATCCCTGAGCACCCCAGAACAAAAGCCAAAATGTTGTGATTTAACTCAGCGATGTTCAAATTCACACTTCTTTTTTTTTCTTTTTGGGTCACACCTGGCGATGCTCAGGGGCTACTCCTGGCTTTGCACTCAGGAAATCACTCCTGGCAGTGCGCAGGGGACCCAGCTGGGATGCTGGAAATCGAACCCAGGTTGGCCGTGTGCAAGGCAAATGCCCTACCCGCTGTGCTATCACTCCAGCCCCAACATTTTGATTATTTTAAATCTTGGAACATCTTGTTTCATAAATGGTTGGTTTGGTGAAATTTAAAATTTTAAATATAAATGGTTGCTTTAAGCAGGAACTGGAGCGATAGTACGGCAGGAAGGATTCTTGCCTAGTGCCCGACCGACCCTGGCATCCCAGAGAGTGCCGAGAACTTTTAGGTGTGACCCCAAAACCAAAATATAAATGAAACTGCAAGGTAAAGTCCCACTGGATTCTTTCTAAAATCTATTTTTGAAGTTTTGGGGTCACACCCGGTGCTCGTGGCTTGTGGGTGGCTCCTTGCTCAGGGTTCCCTCCTGGCAGCTTAGGGACCTTGTGGGATGCTTGGGTTGCGCCCGGTTGGCTGTGTGCTGGGCAAGCGCCCTGTCCACTGTGCTGCCTCTCCAGCCCTAGATCCTTACGGCGAGGCGGGACTTGCCACCTTTGAGGGCTGTGGTAGCCAGGGGAGGGCCCGAGTACTGGAAGAGCAGTCCGTGGTTCTGTCTCTTTAAGACAAGGAGGCGCCTCAGAATGTTGGTCTTTGTTCTGAGGTCACTGAGGCTCACAGTTACTGGGAGGCAGTTGGAGGGAATCCAGTGGAGGAGGGGAGGTGTGTTCGGATTCAGGCTCAGCTGGGGGCAGTGGGCAGTTGGCTGGCTTACTGCTCGAATTGAGATGCTCAGGAATGGGTACTTGAGGCCTTCCTAGGACCAGGCTGTGTGTGTGAGCTGCGTGTGACTGTTGGAAGGAAGAGGGGTAATAAGCCAGAAAGATGGCACCGTGGGTGTGGTGCTTGTCTTGCACGTGACTGATGTGGGTGGGATCCCGGCGTCCCATGTGGTGCCCCAGCATCACCGGAAGAAATTGCCAAGCTCAGAGTCAGGAGTAACCTCGAGCATCACCTGGTGTAGCTCTGTTTCCCCCGCCAAGAGGTGGGGGCATTAGACACGAAGACCGTTTGTTCTTTTTTTGTGTGTGAACTCTGCATTTTTTTTTTTTGACCGTCTGTTCTTAAGATGGTCAGTGGTTGATCAGGAACAGTGGTCTCCTTTTTTTTTTTCATATGATGGACTTACTTTAATCCTTACAGGAGAGGTGTTTAAAGCTCTTAATAGCAGTCTTCTTTTTAAAAAAGCCGTACCACTAAATAAAAGCCTAGTTAATATCGAATATTTAAAGTTGGTATATCTACAAAACTGAGGGTTCTGGGTTTTGAAGGCTGGTGGTTTTTTTTTGTATTCCAGGGATTGGATCAGGTATAATGCATTCGGTATATGTTCTTGACCATTAAGCCATGTCCCTGGCCTGAGAGTTTTTAATAATTGTGTTTACGTATATAATTTTATTATTTTGATTTTTTGTGTTTGTGCCTACACTGGGTTTCAGTAAGATGCCCTTATCTCAAAAGCTCAGCACGCCTGTGATTGTTTATGAAATTCACCATCCCCCTCCCTTCATCCCTGTAGTTCCCTAAAGATCTATAAGTATTTTTCTTGTCTTTCAGGAGTTTGCTGCGTGGGAGTGTATCTAAACGATCTGAGCTGTCCGAGTGACAGATCCTGGTACTGACGCTGAGGACAGCAGCCCGGCGGCCTGGGTATTTGTTATATTTAGGGTCTCAGAGTGTCCAGCCTTTCAGAGTCAGGCAGGTAAAGTATCTATAAGGTTAGACCACAGTCATAAAACTTTATGGGGTGGAGTCGAAGGGGGCACGCCCTGCTGTGCGTGGGCTCAGGGGCTCTTTTGTGGCGGTGCTCGGAAGCACGCGTGATGTCTGGGATCAGGCTGAGGATTGCTGCAGCATCTTGCCATGCCCTAGTCCCTGTACTATCTCTGGCCTCAACATTTAGCCTGATTCTGTTTGAAATTGTATTTTCTGCTTAAAAAAAGTGGATACATTCTACCATTTTCATTTGTGCTGTTCGTGGGGCCTCTGCTTTGTAGAGGAAAGCTTAGTTGTGAAGCACTGACATACACACAAGCACATGCCCCCCTTTCCCTGCCGGGCACGAGCTTTGTGGGAACTGAGGGCTCGAACTGCATCATCAGTACAGATTAAAAATGCTGTTTGAAAATGCAGACTTAAGGAGCCAGAGGGAGAAGACAGCAGGTCAGACGAGCATCCCCAGGAGTGATCCCTGAGCGGAGCCATTAGTAAGCCCTGAAGAGCACTGCCCGTGTGGCCCCAAAGCCCCCCTCCCCCCCAAAAAAAAAGGGAGAACAGAGACTTGTTCACCTTAAGATGCTCTTCTGTGCTGCAGGATGGTTTGCAGGAGAAAGGATTTCCCTAACTAATTGCCAGGGCAGGTGACCTGCCGCTGGTGTAATGAGAGTCGTTCGCCCTCAGCACCCTCCTAGCTGCTGTGAGGATGGAGTGAGTGCTGTCCTTTTTGAAGGCTTCCTCCTCTCTCGTGTCAGGGCTCAGCCTTCTGCCATCACTGCCCGTCCTGTCGCTGTGAGAGTGGACGGCGAGGCTTGCTCTTGGCGTCGCCTCAGCGTCACAGCTGATTTCACATTGCTGGGTCCTTTGGTTGGGGAGGTCATCTTTCACCTGACCTTGATCAGGTGGCCTCAGCACAGAGGTGCCGTCCTGGTAGCCCTTGGAACACTATTTCTGGGGGGGCTGCAGGATAAACGGGCTCTCAGGAGCGCTGACATGTGGCGGGAGGTGGCAAGTAACCGGACTGTGTGGGGTGTGGAAACGTGTGTGCACTTTGTTTCTCAGGTTTCGTTCTCTGCCAGTCTCCTCAAGGATGGAACATGGTATAAAATCAGAGCTATCGGGAACACGGAAGTGACTACCAGCCTGACAGACAGCCTGGACAAAAAGTCTCGAGGTACAGACCCTTCCAGATGGCACCGTTTTCTGAGGGGCTCGTTCTTGAATGTGGCCTTTTGGTAAAATCTCTAGGGGAACACCGAGCTACCTGGCTGCATAGCGGCTGTCCCCAGCACTAGCGCTCACTAGCGCTCAGCGGGCCCCTGTCTAAGCAGACCCTGGGTGGAGGGCAGTCTCCTCCCCATGTGGCCCTCCAGGTGCCGAGACTGCACTGGGCCCCTGCTCTTGGCCTCCCATCCGTGTGTGGGCTGGTTGGTGGCAGCCCGGGGTAGAAGGAGCCGGTCCTGGGTGGGTGCGAACTGGCTGGCCTGTAGTCCAGCCCACCCGGCTCCTTGGGAAGTAGGTAGACCGTGTTCCACGGGTTCATAGAAACCCTGTGACCGCACTGGTGCTGTTGACTGCTGGGTGTTTCCTGCCTGGTTCCTGCCGCCTCCTAAGCAGCGACTGACAAAATGCTGGTGTGCTGCTTGTTTCCCCTGACGCAGAAGCTCTGCAACTAATTCCATTTGCTTTTTTTTTTTTTTTTTTTTTGCTTTTTGGGTCACACCGGCGATGCACAGGGGTTCCTCCTGGCTCTGCACTCAGGAGTCACTCCTGGCGTGCTCAGGGGACCATATGGGATGCTGGGACTCGAACCCGTGTCGGCCGCGTGCAAGGCAAACGCCCTGTCCGCTGTGCTGTCTCTCCAGCCCCTATTCGCATTTGCTTTGAGTCTCCACGCTTGAGAAACATCATCAGGAGCACTTGCTCTGATGGACAGCTCTCCCTGGTAGGAGATGTTCTGTGCTTTGGTGTTGGGGGGACTCCTTTGCAGTGCTCAGGGGCCGCTCCCAGTGATACTTGGACAGCCAAGCCAGACAGTTCGGAGCTAGGGCCCGGTGATCTGGTGTGTTGGTGGTACCCAGTTCCTGGGGGCGGGGGGACCAAGTCGTGCTGGGGTCACGTGCAGGGATCCAGCCCCGTGCTCTGCCCACCCCCGGGGGCCGCGTGCTCTTGCAGCTCAGTGGGCCTCATTCACGTTGGTCGTGCTGTGGTTGCGTTGTGCCATTAGGTATGGATGATAAAGGTGAGCCGAGCAGTGAGGAAACACCCAGGGCCATCAAGCCCACAAGTAAGGAGTTCAGGAAAACGTGGGGCTTCCGACGAACCACCATCGCGAAGCGAGAGGGTGCTGGTGACGCCGAGGTGGACTCTCCGGAGCGGCAGCCCCAGCAGCAGCAGAGCCTCTCCTTGCGACGCAGCGGGCGGCAGCCGAAGCGGACCGAGCGCGTGGAGGAGTTCCTGACCACGGTCCGCCGCCGAGGAAGGAAGAATGTTTCGGTCTCTCTGGAGGAGTGCGGCGAGCCCACATCTTGTCCAGTCACAGATGTGGAGACTGCCTCGGAAGGGAGCGTGGAGAGCACCTCTGATCTGAAAGGGGGCCCCAAGGCTGACCCCACAGGAGAGAAGGATCCCCCCGCCTCTGCTGAAAAGGCCAGAGGGGGCGAAGACGACGACGACACCTCCGACAGTGACAGTGACGGGTTGACTTTGAAAGAGCTTCAGAATCGCTTGCGAAGAAAGCGGGAGCAGGAGCCCTCTGAGAGGCCCCCGAAGGGGATGCAGAATCGCCTGCGGAAGAAGCGACGCGAAGAAGACCCGACAGAAACCGTGGATGTAGAGGCGGGGAACGCAGTCGAGAGCTCACTGCCCTGCAAGCAGGAACCCGAGGCTGACCGGGGGACGGCAGCCCAGGCAGCCAAGGACGATAAAGAGGGTCTGTTGGAAGGAAAGGCGGCCCGGGGGATGGCAGAGGAAGAGCCCAGAGAGCTAGGCAAGCACAAGCCCGAATGTGAGGTGTACGACCCCAACGCCCTCTACTGCATATGTCGTCAGCCTCACAACAACAGGTAGGTCCCGGGAGAGGAGGGTGCGAGCTGCCCGGTGAGCACCTTGTTAGGGCTGGAGCATAGGAGTGCGGTGGGTACGGCGCCTGCGTGGCAGCTCGCCCGGGTTGCTTTGGTCCCAGGTCCCACCAGGAGTGCTCCTGGACACAGCCCTCCGCATGGCAGGTGGGTCGTTGAGTGTCGCTGATTGTGGCCCAACAACCAGAAAGAGAAAGAGGAGCAAGTCCTCATGGAAAAAGAAACCCGGCTTGGGTGGTCACCGTTGCCAAGTGTCACGTGTGGTCGGTGCTGTCGCAGCTCAGAGGGCCACGGGCTGGGTGCTGGGCAGAATTTGTGAGCCGCTCGGGCCTACTGGGTGTGCTGAAGGCACTGGCCTAGTTGGGGTGGCCCTACCCGGGGCCCCTGCAGAACAGCTGACACGCCTTGGCTGACCGTTCCAAGCACGTACGAGAAGCGTGTGGTGTTTATTACTTTCACACTTGTCTGTAGTTGTTTTCCATTCTAGAATATTGAAACCAGCTTGACTTGTTAGTGTTTAAAAGTCAGTATTTGTGTGTTGTTTTCCAGCCCTAGTACCGTTACTTTTTAATTTCAGGTTTATGATTTGCTGTGACCGTTGTGAAGAATGGTTTCATGGCGACTGTGTGGGCATTTCAGAGGCTCGAGGGAGACTCTTGGAAAGGAATGGGGAGGATTACATCTGCCCAAACTGCACCATTCTGCAAGTGCAGGATGAAACCACCTCGGACTCTGCAGAGCAACAGGAGGCGAAATTCCGGCCGGCAGATGTCGACGGTGCGGAGTGCACTAGCATAGGGACGATTGAGCAGACATCGAGTGATGACCAAGGGATAAAGGGCAGGATCGAGAAAGCCGCCAACCCGAGTGGCAAGAAAAAGCTCAAGATCTTCCAGCCTGTGAGTACTTGTTCTCTGAGCGCAGGCACGGGGTAGGGGCAGCACGATGGCGCTCTCCCGGGAAGGAGCTGGGTGTGGCCGTGGCTTTGAGCGGCGACCGAGCGCTCCGGACTGCCCTCCCAGGGACTTCCCCACTCCCCTCCACGAGGGCCCCCGGGGACCAGCTGATGCGCTCTGCTGCTTGGTTGACCTCCCGTGTTCCTATGTGGGTTCACCTTTGCAGTTCGGTCTCTCCTTCACTGTCTTCCCTTGCTGTGAAATTTTGAGTTGTATGTATGTTAACAAAATCAGTTGCAGTTCCCTGAAAGACAGTGAAGGTGTGTAGGTTGCCAGCACAACCAATCCCAACCCCTCCCTCACAGCATATGCAGCAAAACCTCAGGTGTCTCTGGGGATGGGGCTTGGGGCCATACCAGCCAGCTCACAGCTTACTCCTGGCTCTGTGCTCCTCAGGGACCACTTTGGGTGGGATTAGGGGATCGTGAGTGGGAGTAGTGGAAATGGAACCCGGTAGCCGTGGGCAAGCCAGAGCCCTGTGTGCTGTACTATCTTTCCAGACCCGGGGACTAAATTCTTGTGCTGTTGACCCATGATCTCAGTGATGCCGCCAGCAGTGGCTGAGCCACATCTGTTGTGCTGCGTTATGTGTTGTTGTTATATGCTTTTGTCATCAGGTTGGGGTCGGGGGAGTGCTGAGGAAGGAAAGGGCACCCCTAGACTGTTCGTTGGGGGGGTCACAGTACCACTCTCCTTGCCCTCCCATCTAATGAGGGGCTCCACATGCACTGTGCCCATCGGTGACCCTCAGGTTGGCCAGTTTGGGAAGCTGGCCAAGTATGCATCACCATCCCCGACTCCCACTCCCCTGTTCTCCACACAGGCTGGAGGTGTGGTCGGTGTGGGATTAGAAGGGAGGGTTGGAAGCTTTGTCCTGGGTGTCCCTGGCTCCTCACCCAGGGAGGAAAAGAGCCAGCCCGGGCCCCGGCCTCTGTCAGTGGGCGCACAGGTAGCTCTTGGGTAGTTCTTGGTTCTGTGTCTTTCAAACTTCTCACAGCTGCTCTGCTTTATTGGTTGTTGCGTGTCAGTTGTGAGGACTGTACCACTTCAATGCGTTTCCCATAGACGAATTGGCATTCATTCGTTCTGTTATGAAAAACGAGAACTAAGTACATTTCTAGGAAAGTCATTGTCCTCTCATATTCCAGAATCCCTCTGTGCTAGTATTCCGAGTAAAGCTTAGATTCTTCGGGTGGACCAGAACCTACGTGTGGTCTGTGCGCCTTGTCTTCAGATCAATAAATTTTGGAGCTGAGAATCGAAGCAGTAGTGCTTCTGCCCCCTGGGCTTTGTGGCAGCAGGGTGGCGTGCCTTTCTCCCGCCTGTCACTCAGTGACTGCAAGTGGCTCAGAGGCCAGGCTGTGGGGGAGGGCGGTCCATGGGTTTACTGTAAAACTCCCATGCAGCGTTGGCAGCATTCTCAGATTGGAAGGTGACTTGTTGCTTCCTGGAAGTTCACATGGAATTTGGCGTCCTAGATTTTATTTGCAACCTGCTTTAAGAACAGTATTGGATGTTTCTCTTCGCTGGAAATCCCAGCGCTTTTCACAAGGGCCAGACCCTTTCCATGAACTCTGGCCTCCTAGCTAGGGCCTTGAATGACCTCAGCTGAACTTTTTTTTTTTCCTTGAAAAATAGTCTTTTATATTTGTCCTTAAAGGGTGAAGTAGTGTAAGCTTTTTACATCACAGATACGATAGGCTAGTTCCAATTTGTTTTTTTTTTCCATTTTTTTTTATTAGTGAAACACCATGAGGTACAGTTGTAGATTTACAATTTTTTTGTGCTTGGGCTTCGATTATACAATGATCAAATACCCATCCCTCCACCAGTGCCCATTTTCCACCACCATGGATAATATCCCCCCCACCCCCATTCCCCCCATCCCACCCTGACTGTGGCAGGGCAATCCCTCGTGTTCTCTCTCTCCTTTTGGGTGTTGTGGTCTGCAAAAGAGCCATTGAGTGGCAAACATGTTCAGTCCATAGTCTACTTTCGACATGCATCTCCCCTCCTGGGAGGATCCTCCAAACACCCTTTGTCTGGTGCTCCCTTCTCTATCTGAGCTGCCCTTTCCCCTCAGCTGAACTCTTGTCTCTTGACCTCGTATTAGAACTTGAGTGGGCGCCAAGGCCTCTGTACCATGGATGGTGGAAAGGGCAGGTACGGGTCTTGAATGAGGGCCTCAGTGGGGATTAGGTATCTGCTCAGAGTAAGCAAAGGTAAGTTTCTAGTTGTATTAAAAACACTTCAGGAGGGTGGGGCCAGAGTGGTAGAACCTGGGTAGAGTGCTTGCCTTTCATGCGATTGACTCCAGTTTGATCCCCAGCATCGTATATGGTCCCTCCGCTGCTGCAGAGCTAAGAGTAAGCCCTGAGCACTGCGGGGTATGCCCCCAAACGTAACAAAGCGAAAAACAAAACGTACTCCTGAAGGGCCTGGACAGATAGTGCAGTGGGTAGGGCACTTGCCTTGCTCGTGACCAACCTGGTTGTAGCCCACAATAAATCAGTAAGTTGGGGGGGTGCACTTATAAGGGCCAGAGACCTAATACGGCAGGTAGAGCGCTTGCTTGCACGTGGCTAACCTAAGCTCAACCCCTGACACTCTCATTTGGTCCCTGGAGCCCCGCCAGAAGTGATCCCTGAACACAGCCAGGAGTAAGCCCTGAGCAGCACTGGTATGGTCTGGGGGGAAAAAACGAGCAGCTTTCTAGTAACTGATGTAGGGACAGTGACCTCAGCGCACAGGCGGTGGTTTTGCAAAGCCCCTGACCGCTGGTGCAGCGAGCACATTGTTTGAAGCCACACATGTTCTGGCGCAGGTTGTCGAGGCTCCTGGCGCCTCCAGATGCATTGGCCCCGGATGCTCGCGTGTGGCGCAGCCTGACTCCGTGTACTGTAGCAACGACTGTATCCTAAAGCACGCTGCAGCCACGATGAAATTCCTGAGCTCGGGCAAAGAGCCCAAGCCTAAAGAAAAGGCCAAGACGAAAGTTGAGAAGCTCGGTCTTCCCAAATGCAGCGTCCAGGTAAGCGGAGTAAGTCCCGAGCGGCTGGGCAAAGGGTGGTCGCTTCCGGGTGAGGGCACAGCAGGCATCGAGGGTGCAGACCATCCTCTTGACCTCGTCCCCACGTCTGTTCTAGTACTTTCTTCACCCCTTTCAGCCAGTTTCTTATCAGAGTCCTGCAGTAGCCTTTGTTGGAGGACTTCCTTTGTCCTCCCTCCCCCGACTGAGGGACAGTAGCGCCCACACAGGCACCCGGTGGACATGCCTCCCTTCCCTGCTCTCTGGCCTCTTCCTGCTCTGCTTGTGCTGGTGAGAAGCCGGGGGTGGGGGGGGGACCTGGACCACTTGAACACTCGAGGGACTGTCTTCGCTCCTGCGTTGAGTGTTGTGCCCTCCGGGCGCCTGTCGCAAACCTCCCCAGCACTATTGGAAAGACCCTCCTGGTGGCGCCTGTCATCTGCCCAGGGTATCACCTGGCGGGCAGGAACAGTGACGCCCGCTGGCAGGGAAGTGAGAGTGCGCCTGCAGTTCCTGGTGCGGCCCAGGCAGGGCCCTTGGTTCCGCACTCTGGCCTGCCGCCTGGCCTCCCTTGAGGGTTCATTCTCGTGTGATGCGGGGCCTCAGTTGCTCCAATGTCTTAAGTCCTGAGTATGTCATTGTCGTGGGCAGGAACCATCACCTGCTGCCGCTGCCTAGTAAATGTGTACCCAGCCGGGGCAGGGTGGGGACCCGGGGGGACTGGACTGCACAGGGCGTGTGTCCTTACTGACCTTAATGGTTGGGATTTCGTGATTCTTCAGGCAGGCATTAAAATCTCTTCTGTGCACAAAAGACCAACTCCCGACAAGAAAGAAGTCCTGTTGAAGAAGGTGCTGGTGGCCCTGCCAAGGAGCGAGGCCCTCCCGCAGGAAGCAGCCTGTGATGCCAGCACGCCATCCTGGGCAAGCGACCACAATTACAATGCGGTCAAGCCAGAAAAGACTGCCGCCCCGTGGCCATCCATGTTGTGTGCATGTATGTATCACCTCGGGGTAACCTCCTGGACCCTCCCGTGCCTCCTGCGCAGCCGTCCACGCGGGCCTGGCCGCAGCTAGCAGCCTCGGCCGATTTTCATCTGCACCTGCAGATTGAAGCAAGTGCCCGCGCCTGAGACACTCTTGAGCCCTGTGCCTGTCCGTAGTCCTTCCTTCTGTCTTGATTTTCCAAAGGCTGGACAACCCTCATTGTTGAATGCTTGTTACCCAACAGTTGGTTGCTTTAATGTTTTCTTTGTCGGGCTGCGGTAAGTATTAGCATTCTCCTCAGCCGAGTCTGGTTGCACCGACCCACTGCCCAGCACTCGTTAAGTCCATCTTGTCCGATTCCAGGTGTCAGCGCAGTTCTGTCATGGCCCCACTAGTTTGGGGTGGGTCTTTCCACTCTCGTCACGTGTGATCACCGCCTTCCTTGGGGAAGTCTAGTTCTGTACATTAGTGTTTCGCTTGATACTGTCCTGAAGTCCGAGTTTCGGGATTCAAATGAGTATTTCTCATACCCAGCTCACATGCTACACACCCACACAAACACATTTGCCATTCCCCACGGCTTCCGATGTTGAAGGTAAGTGTCGTGTGAACATTGAGCAGCGCCCAGCTGAGGGCAGCTGCCAGGAGAGCCACTTCCAGACTTCTCCTGAGTGATTCCACCGCAAGGTGCAAATGAGTGGAACCAAGGGATTTCGAAAAGATTTTTTGAAATCACACGTCTGATCATGAAACTTGGATTCGTAAAATTGTTTCACAGTCTGACTCCCAGAATTAAATTTTAGAAGTTCACGTTGACCTGTGGGGCATATCTTTTACTGTTAAGGTTCTTTTCAGAAGGCAGGCATCTAGCTCCGAGGTAGGACACATCACTTTGGAGTGTTTGGAGCCCTCGGTGCGATTCCCAGCAGTCCCTCCCAGTATGTGTAGGTTTGCTGTCTGTCCTCCTGTCCCTTTGAAAAGCATCGAAGTGGCTTAAAAGCCTAAGTGGTAAGATGACCGAGGCACTCTGCGCCACCTGAGCCCATCGCGCCAGGAAGGAGCGCTCCTGGAGACGCCGGGCCTGGTGCTTTGGGAAATGGGAGGCCACACTCCCACGTAAAGACCAGTATAGTCGCAAGGAAATTTCCAAGAAGACTAGTTTTTGGCTTCTCATTAGGCGGGGGGTGGTTCATACGCAGAACCATTGTGGCATTGAGATGAATTGATAAAATCCGGGTTGTTTGAGCTAAGAATTTCATCCTAACGAGCCTCAGATGTGCTTCCAGTTATATATAGCACCTCTGTAAAGTGGCCCGTTCACGGCGCGTTAGAGTACGGGCGGGAGGGTGGGAGTGGCTGCTGGGGTGTCTGCACAGCTACCGGCATCTCAGAGTAAAAGCGGACAGGCCTGGCCCCCACCTGCCCTCAACATCAGTTCCACGGAGCCCGTGAGTGCCAGCGGGCGCGCGAGAAGTCAGTGGGAAGACGGGTGGATGGGCTCGCCTCCAGAAGCTCACTCCCGCCTCGCTCGGGTTGGAGGGGGCGAGGTGGGTAGAGTCGGGGTCCTGCCGCTAGGGAGACTCCGGTCTCCGCTCCTAGGTGAGTGATTTCACCTTGAGCACAGGAGCCGTGGAGGGTGCAGTTCTGCTTCCCAGATCACTGATGCCAATGTAGGACTGTTTCTCGGCCAGGAAGGCCGCCTACTGCTCATCCAGAACCCAGCATGCCCCAGAGGGACCCTCTGCCACCTCTCCGGCCACAGGCTGCGACGCCCTCTTCCTGCACCGCTCCCTGAAGCTGCTGTGCTCTGAGCGACAGGACGGACCAATGGTTACTTTTCCCGGCTTGATACTAGTTGCTTCTGATCATTTGCTCTCCCAGAAATGTCATCTCAGAAGATGATTGGGTGGGAGGAAAGTGAGGTGTTTGGTAAAGCAGCTGGCATCGTCGGCCGGGAAGGTTGCCACGTAGTCAGCTGAGCCCACCTTTGACCGTGAGGACCCCTCCTCCTGCCTTGGCCCGCGGAGCGCTGCTGGTGTGGCCTCAGCATTTTCAGCCCCCATACTGCTGCCCCAGGATGCCCAAGCACCCTTCCCCCTCCCACGACCCCACCCCCCGGTGACAACAGCTGCCGCTTCTCCGTTAACTTGGGGTGCTTGTGGTGCAGGTCGTACTGCTCCCCACCCACCCTTAGGGGACAATTCCGTGCTCCTGTCAGGGTCGCGTTCAGCTTTGAGGGTTTCTAGACAGTTGGCCTGTTTGGGCTGCTTTTCTTCCCACTAGTACTGTTCCTGCCAGAATCCCTGTATTGTCAGGCGTGGAGAGAGATGAAGCCTTTTTCGAAAACGCCTGAGGTTCCTTGTGGACAGTTTGGGATTCTGCGCTGCATATTCATATGCACAAATCCTAGGCTTTTTGAACTCCAAGTGTCTCATGATTTGACCTAGAAGCACATGCCCTGGACAGGTTTTGAATGGGAACTGCGATTTCTACATTTCATCTAGCTCTGAGTGCTCAAATGGAAAATCTCAGAGCCTGTGTCCTGACATCAGGCTGCATTGTGAGACCGTCCAGCCTCGCGTGTATGGACAGGTCACTGCACAGCCCTTGGTGCAGAGTTTAGATTGTTGGAGGTAGCACGTTTCCTCCAGCAAAAATGCCAGGGCCACTGTGCTATGAGAACTTGAATTAGAATAAGAGCGTTGAGCACGTGTCACTTGCATGATCCCTTTTTGTTTGTGGAAAGGGGGCCCAGCGGCCATCCTCAGGGACATGGCTGTGATTGGCACCAAATTACTGGGCCAGGGATTGAACCAGGGCCAGCTGTGTGCAAGACCAGCACCTTAACCCCTGGACTGCCTCTCCATCTGCCTCCCCTTACCCCTTAACTCCAGAACTGTCGGTGGCCATCAGACGGGCGGGGACATGTCAGCCTTCGCGCTCCTCACCGGTGTGCTGCTCGTGGGCTTTTGCATCTGCCGCCGCTTGTTTCCCAGCGGTATCTGTGAGGGTCTGTCTTACAGGCTTTTCAAGAAGAGCCAGCTGATGAGAAGAAAGGGCCAACAAACGGATTCCCGTGACCCTAAATCGGCCAGGCCCCATGCTGCCCCCTTCTCGGGCTCCCCAGGGAGGAGAACCAGTGACGTCCCCAGCTGGCTTGTTCCTGCCAGCTTCACTGCTCCTTGGTGACCCTCACGCCCCTGCTTGGAGCTGCTCAGGAAAGCCTTTTTGGTGGCTTTCCGGTGTCGGCGAGCCAAGGTCCTTCCGTAGGGCACACTGCAGTCCCTGTGTGAGTCTGACCGCTTTCTCGACCCGCATGTGACACATGAGCATGCACAGGAAGTGCAGTAAAACTAGCAAAGTCATGGCCACTTTTCATGGAAGAAGGTTGGGGCAGCTCTTACTGCGGGAGCCTGGAGGACGGAGCGAGAGGATCCTGAGGTAACAGCTTCCCTGCCCGCCCATGGGCGGCTGCTAGAGACCTCCTGGGGTCTGGGGGCGGGGGGCCTGGGCAGCACCAGGGAGGCCACCTAGATGCCAGCAGCTAGGGGGGAGACAGCCACTGTCTTCCAGGATGGGGTTCGTCACGGAGCGGGAGGCAAGGGGCGGCTCACTCTAGACATGGACTGTCCTCTTCCTGTCTGGGGCGGCTCTGGGGGTTAACCCCGAGGCTGTGAGCCTGCAGGGTCTGAGCCCATTCTCAGAGAAGAGTGGGCAGCCACCTCTGGGGGTTGAGGGCTGCGACCTCAAGACAGCATGAGCGATTAGTGTCAGAATCCTCAGGCCAGAAGATCTGCACGACCTTTTCCACCCATCTGCTCGTGACCTAGGCTGTGACCCTGACTCCCAGTCAACGAAGAGCCCCCACCCCCTCGGGTGTTACCAGGGTGTAGCTTTCCTGTGGTAGACGCAAATCAGGACTTGGCTGTACTTGTAGGAGGATGGTTCCCCTCAGACACTTGAGCAAGCGTGCCACCGCAGTGGCCGCCTCTTGCTGCTCTCACCCACTCTTCACACTGGAGAGCGCCTGCCGGTGAAGACACAGTGGAACTGGGGATTCCATTGTACATGGCCGTGCCAGGAGCAGATGCCCGCATGCTTCAGCTCTGCCCCATGCCCTGTCACAGCAGTGCTGGGAGAGGTGCCAGGACCTCTGCTCTCGCCACGTGCCCGCCAGCTCGCCCGTGAAGAGGAACCCTTCCTGGTCTGCGCTGGATGGGGGGGGCGGGGGGCTGGGGGAAGGGCCACGTGGTCTGGGCGAGACAAAAACATGCACCCAGGTTTCTTGCAGGGGCCTGGTCCAGGAGCTGTATCTGAGGGGACAGAGCCACGTGTGTTCCCTGCGCTCCGCATGCCCCCTTTAAGGTCCCATAACGGGGACTGGCGTTGCGCCATCCTGCTGACTCTGTCCCACTAGTGCCATCCAGTGGCGGCACGGCAGCACTGCAGCCAGTCTCATGTCCACCTGACCTGCTTTTGGAAATTGCCCCAGTGTGTGTGCTGATAAGTCTAGTGCACCTGAAACATTTTCTGGCTGTTACAAGTAAATGGCTGCATGCACACAGCATCCGAGGCAGCAAGCAGCTGTTGTCGTGGCGCCTTCCAACAGTTTGCTGAGGGTTCAGCAAGCTCAGAGCCCACACCTGCACCACACTGAGCCTGCTCGCAGGTGGAGGAGCTTAGACCCCTGGGGAGGCACGCAGGGCCCGGGCAGCATGAGGTCAGCCATCCACTGGGGCTGGCCTGCACTTGGCCCACTTCCTTTGCCCCACACAAATGCATGTGTAACTTAAAGAATTTGAAGAGTTGGCAAGTCTGATGATAGCTCTCCTCACAAGGAACGTTCTATCCCGCCAGCATTGTGCCATGGTGGGGGCCTCTAGGTCTGCACGCCAGTGGCTGCCGCTGTCACTGGTTGGACTCGGTCCATGTCCTAGACGTTCCTTTTCAAGGTAGAAGGGCATAACTGACTTGTACCCTGAACATTTTACCAACGAGAGACAAGTTTGACCGAGGCCCAAGGAATTGCTGGACATTGACTTCTGCGTGAGACACTCCAGCCCTTCCGACTCACTGAGGCTGGTCAGCACTCTGGGTCCTCAGAAGCGATCTGTGGGATTGTCTTGACAAAGGCCCTTTGAGGCAGGAGGGGGCAGGTCTGACAGTGTCCTGTATGTCACGGGCATGAGATGAACTCGCAGCCCCTCATGCCACCTTTCCCAGCACACACTCCAGGTAGCACTTGGGGACCACTCCTGGCAAGCTTGAGGAACCATATGGGATCCTAGGGCTCGAACCCAGATCAACTGCATGCAAGGCAAGCACCCTACCTGCTATACTGTGCTGGCCACTCAGGGCAGCTTTGGGGTTTGAAAGCATTGCTGGGCCAGCAGAGTCTCAGCTGGGGGTTTGTGACTACTGCCAGGCAACAGCTCCTGCCACGTTTCCTGCCCTCCCTTTCCACATGAGAGGGTCTCAGCTTACTTGGGTTGGGTGCCGGGTGCCTCACTGCCCGTGTGGTGGCCCCTTGGAGTTGACTCCAGTGGGTGAACTGATGATTGCAGAGGGGGCTGTGCCTGGGGTCTACTTGGGACCAAGGTGAGGATGGGGCTTATGGACAACTCTGCCTCCTGGTCGGATTGCCCCTGCACTGTGGCACTGACCCTGCACACCAGGTGACCTAATGTTTGTGAGGGGGTGGTGGGGCAGGCCCTCCTCCCCGTCCCTGGGGAGCACAAGAGCACTGGAGTCTTTTTCTTCCATGGGGGCAGGAGTCGTTCGCAGCCATTCTGTGACTGGACCTCCTGCCCAAAGTGTGTCCCCAAGGAGCATCCTGCTTTTCTTGACTTTGTCCCAGTATTCCTGACTCCTGAGTGCCAACCTTGTACAAGCCTGCTGACACAGGAGTGAGACAGGCTAGTCGTAGAGCTGTCTGATCCCCAGTCTGACATGACAGTTGGAAGCACCCAGTGACGCTGGGGTCCAGCAAACCCAGAATCCTACAGTGGTGCATTACACGCTTTTTGCAGGGGTTACAGGGTTTTGTTCATGTGTTCAAACTTCTGGGTCCGGTACTTGTTTAGAAGTGCAGTTTTTGGTTTTGTCTTCCCCGATAACTGGACATAGCAAGGACTGTGTGGATGGGAACACTTATGTAACAGCATTTTTGTGTGCTTGTCATATCAGTGTTCCGGTTCACTCCTCATGGTTGCAAGTTGCTGGTGACGTTCCCCACTCCAGAATGAAGCCTGAGTAAACATCCCCCTTCCCTATGGGCTGTTGCTGATTATTCCAAAGCCTGAAGGATTTTTCATAGCAGTTCCAAATTTGTAGTTTGTCTTAGCTATTGGGAAAGAGCTCTGGTTCATGTTTACAAGAAAATCGAACTTGGGCACGGGGAGGTAGTTCAGAGCGGTGGAACAGCACGTGCTTTGTACCGAAGAGCTCCAGGTTCCATCCTTAACATTGAGCTGGGAATGACCCCTGAGCACTCTGCGTCGTTTTGGGTCTTCTGGAATTCCTGGAATTTGCCTCTCAGTGTTGAAGCTCAGCTCATTGAAATCGAGACACTGCTCCCTGGTTGGCTTACTGACCGTAGCCAGAGTTCAGTGGAAAGAGTGTTTTGGAAGTGTGGTTACTATCATGACTACCGCTGGTAGCCTTCACGCCCGTTCCGAAGTGACTGCCGCCAAGGTTATGTGCTTGGGTGGAGAGAGTTCATGGGTTTGGTCTCCAGCACCCTCCGTGCTCCCCTGAGCTCCGCCAGCAGTGATTCCTGGACAGGCGGGGGTGAATCCGAAATAAGATCCTTTGGGGGAGCCGTGCAGGCCCACGGCCCTACTAAGCCTGTTGCCTTTCCTTGCAGCCACCAAAGAGGACCGACGTGTGGAGGAGAAGCCGACTGCGGCAGCGGCTGTGCCTAAGAGAGCTGTCCCTGCAGGCTCCTCTGCCGGCAGCAAAGCCCCTGTGCCCAGAAACCTCCTTCCGAAGAAGTCTCCGTTCGTGAACGTGGCATCCAGCAAGCCAAGCATCAAAAGCTCGTCGCCGGGCTTCCAGGGCACCATTCCTAAAAGACCCTGGACCACCGCGGCTTCCGCGGGCAGTGCTTCCACTGCCAAGAGGGCAGGGCTGGCACCTGGCACCTCCACATCTGCTTCCAAAAAGCTGCTGGGTTCTGCTGCGCTGCTGGGGGCCGGAAGGAAGCTGGTGGGTGCCTCCGTGCCCGCAACCTCTCCCGCCCCGGGACGGCTTGGGGGCTCAGGCCCGGCCCCAGCCCAGCCAAATTCGCAAATCCGGCAAAATATAAGACGTTCCTTGAAAGAGATTTTGTGGAAAAGGTGGGCTATCTGTGTTCAATTCGTATCCGTGGAGAGCTTGCCCTTCCCCAGAGGTCCCTTCAGGATTGCCCTGCTGTTCGGAAAAAGTTTTGTGGGAGGGCGCTGTGGCTCACCCGCGTCTTTCTGATTCCCCTCTAGAGTCAGTGACAGTGACGACTTAATCATGACAGAAAATGAAGTCGGGAAAATCGCTCTCCACATCGAGAAGGAGATGTTTAATTTGTTCCACGTTACAGACAACCGCTATAAGAGTAAATACCGCAGCATCATGTTCAACCTCAAGGACCCTAAGAACCAGGTGTGTGTCACATCTCCCGAAGGCTGAGGGCTCCAGGCCAGGAGGTGCCTGGTGACAAGTGTCACCCTCGCAGGACTGACTGTGCCTTTGCCAGTGCTCCCTCCCCCGTAGCAAGGCCTGCGCCACCCATTGCCCCTGACGTTCCTTCTGGGCATGGCTGTGAACGCCCCTTCCCGAGGTGAAGTGTCTGCAGGGCCACTCCGTCCCCGGCCTTGGCTGCTCGTTCCTGGGGGGACGTCAGCCATGGGCTACCTGGCTTCTGCCCCGTTTGTGCTTTCCAGCTGTCCTCCCACACACACCGTGGTAGGGGCCAATGGCAGGGACTGTGGCTCACCGGCTGCCCTGACCTCTAGGCTAAAGTCTCTGCCTCTGTCCCCGACTCCACATTTGTGTTTTGGGGTTTTTTTTTCTTTTTGGGTCACATCCAGCAATGCACAGGAGTTACTCCTGATTCATGCACTCAGAAATCTCTCCTGGCAGTGCTCGGGGGACCATATGGGATGCTGAGAATCGAACCCGGGTCTGCGGCGTGCAAGGCAAACACTCTACCCGCTGTGCTATTGCTCCAGCACCCCGACTCCACATTTGGCAAGGGGTTCTGATTTGGGCAGAGGTGGCCCGACCGCGGCCCCAGGCAGGACTTGCCCCCTCTGCTCTGCCCCCCGCCACCGAGCGAGAAGACCTTGAGCAGTGAACGGAAGCTGTTTGTCTTTCAGGGCCTCTTCCATCGTGTTCTGCGGGAAGAAATCTCTTTGGCAAAACTCGTGAGAATGAAACCGGAAGAACTCGTATCCAAAGAGCTTTCCACCTGGAAAGAGAAACCCACCAAAACCGTGAGTGCTGTCAGGGCCTGGAGGCGTGCCGCGCTGACGGCACCACAGCCACTCAAGTCACGGGGGCTTCCTCTCCCCAGCAGGTGACGGAGGCCCGGGCCAAGCTGCACAACGAGAGCAAGAAGGCGGCTGTTAAGCAGGAACCCCTGCCCGACATGGAGGACTCCCCGCCCGTGTCCGACTCGGATGTAAGTGGGCGCCTGCGCGGGCGGCAGCCCTCCCCACGCTCGCCTCAGGCCTCGCCCCAGCTTGGGCTCACGGGCTTCTCGTTGGCAGGAGCAGGAGGCCGCACGCGCGCTCCCCGAGAGCAGCGCAGCCCCCCTCCTCGACACGGTCAGCAGCATGCTCAGGGACACCACGAGCCAGCACCGCGCGCACCTCTTCGACCTCAACTGCAGAGTCTGCACAGGTGAGTGCCAGGCCGGTGGCCTCTTCTCCTGTCCTCCCTGGCACGTCGGGCTTCTCACGTCCCTCCCTCACACCCTCAGGTCAGGTTCTGTCCTCGGAGGATGAGCCAGCCCAGAAGAAGCCCAAAGTGTCAGCCACTGCCAAGAGGGAGGACACCAGGCCCAAGGGTGACGGGCCTGCCTCTGAGCCAGCCCCGAGCGAGAGGCCGCCCAGAGATGGCCCGGAGCCCGAGCTGGAGAGGAAGGCCTTCCCTGCCCCCGAGGAGCCTGCGGACGACGGGCCTCCTGAGCCCTGTGTCCCCGAGGGGCCTGCCTGCCCAGCACCCGGGGCGAGTGGGGTGCTCACGACGGTCACACTTTCGGGCCGGGACCCCAGGACTGCACCAAGTGGGTCGTGCACGGTCACAGCCCCTGCCGCAGCCCACCCAGCGGAACCCCGACAGGACGTACCGAGGCCGCCTGTGCCCTCCGTGACAGTGCCCAAGTCCATCCTGGCCAAGCCGTCCCCCTCTCCCGAGCCCAGATATCTCCTCCCAGTGCCACCGTCAGCGAGCATCGGGTACGTGTCCCTACAGCCCCGCGTGTGCCCACCGAGCACCGTCTGCGGTGCCAGGGTTCGGCATGGAGCTGGGCCCAAGAAGCAGCTGCCTCAGTTCAGTGGTTCCCCTTCACCTGGGAGGCCTTGTGTCTGTGACATTGTCATTGCCCTGATTGGCTTGGGGATCAGGCTGAGTGCATGCTTTGTGGGCTGGGTCCCAGGTTGATCCTCAAAACCGCGGGATCCCTGATCACTGCTTGGGTGTGATTGATTGATTCAGAGGCCAAAGAAACTGACAATAATAATCAAGTAATTAAACAGTAGGTGGCCAAGACCTGTAAGGATTCACTTTTAAACCTGAAGTTTTCGCCCTTGAGAAATTCATTGAGTAGAGAAATTGACTCTTACTTCTTTTGGTTTTTTTCCCCCCAGTGTCTCCGAGACACCGTCCCCGCCGGAAGGAGACACAGCTCTCTTTCTGTCTCGACTCAGCACCATTTGGAAAGGATTTATTAACATGCAAAGTGTAGCGAAATTTGTCACGAAGGCGTACCCTGTCTCTGGATGCTTTGATTATCTCAGCGAGGTCAGACCTGAGGGCTGTGTGCGTGCGTGCGTGCGTGTGTGTTGTGTGTGTACGTGCGTGTACCTGTGTGAGTGAGGCCTCTAGGCACGGGTTCTCCTGATCCTGTGTTCTGGGTGTCTACATGGATAAGCCCCTCTAAGGCAGTAGAAATTCCTGCGGGTGCCACCTGCACAGTAGCAGAAGCTTAGAGGAGGTACTGGGCACCTGGGTGTCCATCGCCACTGTTGGGCGGCACGTCTGCTCACCTGCTGTGCTGCCAGGACTCACGGCTTGGTGGGTCAGTCAATGGCAAGGAGCCCTGGGACTCCAGTGTCCCGTGTGTCTGGGGAGCCCTGGGTGTTGGGCGGGACCCACCAGGCTCAAGCCCTCTCGCTGGAGCCTGACTTCAAGGTGACCTCCGGTGCCTTCTGTCTAGGACCTGCCCGACACGATTCACATTGGTGGGAGGATCGCACCGCGGACAGTCTGGGATTATGTCGGCAAGCTCAGATCTTCCGTGTCCAAGGTACCGCCAGCAGCCTGGCATCTGCAGCACCACGGGGGCGGATGGGTCCTGAAACGCCCACTCGGGGGCAGTGCGCCTGCCGGGCAAGCGTCCCGGGTCAGCTCATCGCTGTGTGGCACAGCCGTGACGGGGTGGCAGCCGCCCAGGGTGGGGCTGGCCTGTTGGCTCTGCGCTGTGGGAACGGAGCCAGATCCTCCCCAGCTTAGCAGGAGTCAAGGTCCTCGCTCCCGGATGCCCGGGAGCTCTGCCGTTCCCCCGTGTGATGGCACCTGACCGGCGCCTGCCTGTTTGTGTTGTAGGAACTGTGTCTGATCCGCTTTCACCCTGCGACCGAGGAGGAGGAGGTGGCCTATATCTCTCTCTACTCCTATTTTAGCAGCCGCGGCCGCTTTGGCGTCGTGGCTAATAACAGCAGGCACGTCAAGGACCTCTACCTGATCCCACTGAGTGCCAAGGATCCCATTCCCTCCAAACTCTTACCCTTCGAGGGCCCAGGTAAGCCCTGCCTTCTGGGCGGATGAGTCCCGCCCACCACACCGAGTTCACTCAGCACCGGTGACTTCTCGGACGGGGTCTGGGGGCTCCTGTGGCCCTGGGAGCTAGGCTCGTGAGTGCTGGGCGTGGCGCGACAGTGCATCGCGGTCCCGTGGAGAGGTGCGTGCCCCCGGCCCATCCGGGCTCAGTGGCCAGGCCGGCCTGTGTGTCTGCCCTCGGCCTCCCCGCCCCCGCCTGCTCCCCCTCCCCCCAGGAAGTCTATTCTGAGTCCAGCTGGAAAGGAACACACCTGGCGCCGCCTCTGTCCCCTCCACAGGCGGAGGGGAGCTGGAGGGGCGCGTGCGGCACGGAACCCTGCCCCGTGCTCCCAGGGACCCCAGAAAGAGCAGGGAAGCCCGTAGTTGCCGAGCAGCCTTCCGTCGACTCCGCTTTAATTCTCCTTGCAAAACAGTCTGTACTTACTCCTAGGACCACTTCTGACTTCACGCTCGGACAGTGGGTGTGGCCGGTGGGCGGGTGGCCTGTGCAGTGCTGGGAAGAAGGCGATGGGATCTTCCTGGGTGCAGCGCCAGGTGGGCGGGGGCTCCCTCTTCCAAAGCTGCTCTGGGCCGAGTCTTCGCTTCTGCCTTCTGTCCTTGACCCCGTCGCCGGGCCCTGCCTTCCAGCGATGCCCGTGAAGGCCCAGGGCACTGTGACCCCCTCGGTGGGTGACGAACGTCCACTGGCACCATGTCAGGTGGGACCTGCGAGGCACACTCCAGGCCATGTCTGCGCGCGCACACAGGACGGAGGCTGCTGGAGGGCAGCCCTGGGACTGGCCTGAGCGCCCCAGATGCCGCAGGAGCCCCACCGTCAGTGCGGAAACCGAGACGGCCTTGCGCAGCCAGAGTGCTCCTCTCAGCCGAGGGCCCTGCTTAGAGGGGGTCGGGGCCCTGCTCCCCCTCCTGAGACAACTGGATGGCTGGGCTTAATGAGAGGCAGGGTTCAGTGTGGGGGTGCAGGGGAGAGGGCCACCAGGGCCTCCACAGTGAGGGTCGGGCTCGCAGGTGACCTCCCCTTAAGGGCGCCCCATGCAGAGGGAGGCCGTGGGGGCAGTGCGGGGGGCGGGAGGTACACCACTTCCTGACCCGTGGAGAGGTGTCTGCAGTGAAGCCTGAGCCACTGCGGGTTATCCCCGGAGTCCCGCACTTCGGCCCCACACCAGACTCAGACCTGTCCCCTTTCATGGTGGCACTTGCCATTTCCGCCACCTGCCTGTCTGCATGTCCTGGTCCGATGGAGGTGGGGGGGTTCCCGGGCCTGTGTGTGATTCCATGGTCTGGTGTGTGCGGACCTGTGGGTGGCTGGGCATGGACTGGCCTCCCACACCCGTGGCTCTGTCCCGTGGATCCTCTCTTCGTGGCCCCTGCAAAGATGCATGGGCGGAGGCTGTCATGGACTGAGGCTGTCCTGGCCCCTGGGCAGAGTGCCCAGAGGCTCTGCACGCCTGTCTGGCAGCCAGAAGAGGACCCTACCCTGGCCGGCCGGCTGGCCGGCCGGCACACGTCTGAGCTCACATACCCAGTAAGTGGGCATGGGCCCCCGGGGGCCTCATCTTCTGCCTCTCTCCAGTGGGAAGCCATGGATGGGCATAGCGCAGTGCTCGGAGGGAGGGCAGGGGCCAGAACGTGGGCTGCTGGGGACAGCGTCGCAGTGGACACAGGTCTCAGCTTGCCCAAAGCATTGGGTGGCGCAGAACAGCCCACCACACAGGCCCTGCACTGTCTGGATCCCATGTGGACACGCTGCTCCCATGTGGCTGCTGTCAGCCGGGTCAGACAAGTCAGGTGGCCCTGGGCTGCTTGTGTCCTTTGTCCAAGGACTACACGGCAGGGCGGCCTCAGCCAGGCTAACACAGAGGCCCACTGCCCCTGCGCCTCCCAGCAGGGCCCCCCTAGCCCAGCCAGGACTCTGCAGAGCTGCTCATCCCGGGGTGGGGGTGGGGTCTCAGCCAGCCAGTGCCCGGGGTTCACTCACGGGCTCTACCTCCGCGGGCTGACGCCTGAAGTCTTCCCCTGGAACACCTCAGGGGAGGGAGTGCCAGCAGGTAAGCCAGTCGGCCGTGTACCGACGTACACGCCTGTAGCTCCATGCACACTGGCCAGGCTTGAGCCAGACTCCCGGACGGAATGTACCACCGCCGCCCCTCAGATCAATAAAGCTCTTTCAGAGAACCTGCTCAGTGCCTGTTTGACTCGCACCTCTGCCAGCTGGGGCACCTGTGACGGGTCCAGCTGCGAGGAAGCACCGACACCCGCAGCTTCACTGCCCCTGCTGGTGCACGAGCCACCACTGCTCCAGGCCCTCGATGAAGACGGGCTGAGCCCAGCCTGCTGAGCCTGGCTGTGCACAGGTCCTGGGGTGGAGAGCGGGAGGCAGGAGAGCCCCCGGGAGGGTGTGCGTGGGGCTGGCGCAGAGCTGGGGCCCCGTGTTCCCAGGCCTCTCCCACCTCCCGTCTGTCCAGCTAGGTTCAGACCCCGGGAGGGTTTTCTTCCTTGGGTCCTTGGGCCAGGAGGAAACTGCCCAGGCAGAATGGCCGGCTTCCCTGTGGCACTCTGCCCCGGCCAGCGGGAAGGCTGCCTGCGCCCCTGCGCGCTTGCATCTGCTCTCCCCTTTTGGCTGGGGGAAGGCACAGCCTCCCCGCACCTCACCCCTGCTCTTCGAAGGGGTGGCCCTTGCCTCTGCTAGAGGGACTGAGCCGCGCCCCCTTTAGCCTTTCCCAGGCCCTACTAGCACCCCCTCTGGGTAATGTGAAACCCAGCCCCTCCCACCGCCTCTGCTAGGGCTTCATTCAGGAGCGTCAGGAGCTGCCCCGACGCGGCTTCCTATGGGCCCCCTCAGAGCCATGGAGCCAGGGCAGGAACGCAGGGTTGCCCCAGTGACAGGCACAGGTCGGCCCTCGGGGGAATGTGCCGCTGACCCTGGGCCTTGGCTCGGAGCTGGAGGCTCAAGGTGTTCAGAGACACTGGCTGTGTCTTCCATACCAGCACTGGCACGGGGCTGGCCCGTCCTCGTGCCTGGCCACGTGGGGGTGGTGGGATGGCACGCTGCCAGGACCACACCTGTTGTCCAGGCTGAGTGCAGCTCCCCCAGCGGCGGCTTGGCCAGCCTTGTGGGGCGGGCTGTGGGGGTTGCCTCGTGGGAGGGGCACAGCACACCTGCCTGCAGGACAGGCTCTGCAGCTGGCTGTGTCTACTGACCGCCCGCAGATGCACGCGGAGCTCTGCTCTGCAGGAGCCTCGTCCAGGTGCCTGCGTTGCTCGCGCTCCAGGAGGGGAATCAGAGTGTGTCCCCCCCACACACACACACACACTCCCCCTCTGCCCAGCGCCCTTCAGAGCAACGTCTGAGAAGGCTACTGCCCTTCCAGCCTTGTCCTCTCTCCCCGAGACCCTACGCTGCCCAAGCGTTTCTGAGATGCGGGGCCAGGGTGCTGTGGGGAACGTGTTCCGAGGCGCCTCGGTTCAGAGGCCCCTGTGCAGCTGGACCCACTGTGCTCAGCCCCCTCCCCACTGCCCTTGGCTGGAACCCGGTTGGGCGGGAGCACCAGCTCCCTGGGCTAAGATCTGCCACGACTTAGCTGGAGTTTCTGAAGAGTAGAGCCTGTCTGTACAGACGTGCCATGCTCCGAGCCCTTGTGTAATATGTCTGGTGGATTAGCGCCTGGAGGCTCCTGTTCATGGGCCTGGAATCTTCCATAGCTCTTGAGTTTTCGTGGTGGGAAACCTGAGAGATTTGGCCGTTCCCATTTTCATCTTTCGCCCCGTTCCTCGTCCAAGGCTGAGGTGAATTTCCCCGATGGTGTGTGTCACTCTCAGAATTCTAGCGGCTGGAGGACTGAGCGTTAGGGCTCGCCCCTGACCAAGTCCTTCATATCCGCGTGTTTAGTGCTGTCATTGTCCACGGCAGGCTGGAGTTTCCGTCACCAGGGCTCTGGCTTCCCGCCAGGTAGTCAGAGGCTGAGGGGCAGCTTGGGGGGTAGGCGGGGGGGGCGGGGAGCCGCAGCCGTGGGCTCTGCGCCGTCCCTTGGGCTAGTCAGTGCAGGACGTGCTGGCGCCGCCTCGGGACGCGGGCGGGGTGGGAGGCTTGTGCAGTTGGATGGGCACGGATGGGCGCCTCGGTGAGGCAGCCCAAGAACTCCCTCCTTGTAATTTGATTGTACCAGTGAGAACTCGCCCGACTGGCCACATGGAAGTCCCCGGGGGCGCCGAGCTCGGGTTCTAAGGGGCACACGTCTTCTGTCTTGCAGGTCTGGAGTCCCCACGACCGAACCTCATCCTCGGGCTAGTGATCTGTCAGAAGCTCAAGCGTCCTGCCGGCGTCGGGGAGTTAGAGAAGCCAGAGGAGAAGCGGGCCCGCCTGCCCGCCGCGGAGGAGCTGGACGTCCCTGCCTACCCCCGGCCGCCCCTGGCACCTCAGCCCGAGAAGAAGCCCCCGAAGTATCAGCTCTGCTCCGGGGACCCGGTGGCCAGCACCACGCCTCCAGGCTCCCCTCCGCCTCCGCCCCCGCTCCCAGAGCCCCCAGCTCCGCCCACTTCGGCGTCTGTGTTGAAAATACTGTCCTCACTCAAGTCCAGTCCCTCCGGCACTGCCAGCCCCGCAGCCTCCTCGCCGGTGGCCACGGCAGCCACGGCCACCGTCACCTCCTCGGCCGCCAAGACAGCCTCGCCCCTGGAGCACATCCTGCAGACCCTCTTTGGGAAGAAGAAAACCTTCGAGCCCCCCGCCCAGGAGCCCGCAGAGGCCGCCCCCGCCCCCCTGCATGACCCCAAAGGCCTGCCTGACAGCGGGCTGTCTGCGGCGCCCCTGCTCGACCCCATTGTCCAGCAGTTCGGCCAGTTCTCGAAGGAGAAGGCTCTGGAGGAGGAGGAGGACGACAGGCCCTACGACCCCGAGGAGGAGTACGGGCCCGAGCGCGCCTTCGCCGCGCAGCTGAGCGAGAGGAGAAACCCAGACCCGGGGCAGGGGGAGGAGGCGGAGGAGCGGGAGGAGGTGGCGTATGACCCCGAGGATGAGACGATTTTGGAAGAGGCCAAAGTCACCATCGACGACCTGCCCAACAGGATGTGTGGTGACGCCAAGGGTCCCGCGGCCTCGGCGGCCGCGCCGTCCCTGGTGGAACAGCAGAAGATGATCGAGGAGCTCACGAAGCAGATCGAGGAGCAGAAGAGACAAGTGGAGGAGCAGGAGGAGGCTTTGCGGCAGCAGCGAGCGGCCGTCGGGGTCTCCATGGCCCACTTCTCCGTGTCTGACGCGCTCATGTCGCCGCCGCCCAAGGCAGGGCTCCCCAAGGCCGAGGTGTTCGCGCAGGAGCCGTCCTCGGCCGGCCGGCCCGCCGTGCCCCCCGCGTCCTCGCCGGCGACGGGTCCGGGCTGCGACCCCCGGCCCAGCAGGGACCCCCGGCAGGCACGGCGACTGGCTGCCGAGGGCAGCGACGGAGAGACGGGCCCGAAGCCTCCAGCCAGAGAAGCGCCCGGCTTGTCTGCAGCCCCCACGGGGGCCGCTGAGCCGCCGGGGCCCGCGGCCTGGGCTCCCGCGGAGGACACGCTGCTGCCCGCCCCGCCGGAAGTGCCTGCCTGCAGCCACGCCGAGAGCCTCGGCCCGGCGCCCGGGGACGGTGCGGTCAGGCCTGCCCGGAAGGTGCTGCTGCCCACGCCCCCCAGCCCCGCCTTTGCCCCCCACTTTCCCGTGCCGGGCGACGGGCAGGGCGTGCACGCGCCCCCCGGCAGGGAGCCTCTCCCCGGCCCCATGTTCCCGGCCCAGGACCCGGCAAGCGGCTCCTCCCCGTACGAGGGGCCTGCAGGTGCGGAGTGGGCCGACGGCGAGGGGCTGCGTGCTGCCACCGACGCGGACGGAGCCCCCGTGTTCTCCCCACCCGGACAGAAAGTGGGGGCCCCTCCGCCCCCATTTCAGGGCCAGCGCGAAGCCGCTCCACGCGCGTTTGGAATGTCAGGGCTTCACGGCCCCGGTTTCCCTGGGCCCAGGGGCCCCGTCCCCCCGTTCGCCGAGGAGAACGTGGCTTCCGGTGCTGAGGGGCCCCGCGGGCCACCGCCTGCCAGGTTCGGGGCACAGAAGGGGCCCATCCCTCCCTTGTTCTCAGGGCAGCATGGACCACCCCCTCCCTACGGGGACAACAGAGGCCCCTCGCCCTCGTACCTGGGGGGTCCCCGAGGCGCCGCTCCGGCTCAGTTTGAAGAGCACCAGGACCCCCATGGGGAGAAGCTGGAATTCCAAGATGACCCCTATGGGGAGATGGCCGGGCCGCCTGCCCAGTTTGAAGGACCGGAGCATGCCCAGTTCTTGGGGGCTCGGGGCCCCACGCCTTTCCAGTTCGGGGGCCAGCGGCGGCCCCTGCTGTCTCAGTTCAAGGGACCTCGAGGAGGCCCCCCTCCCTCTCAGTTCGGAGGTCAGCGAGGGCCACCCCCCGGCCACTTCGTGGGCCCCCGGGGGCCGCATCCCGCTCCCTTTGAAGCCACCCGCGGCCCCCATCCCGGTCAGTTCGAAGGGCCCAGAGGCCAGGCACCAAACTTCATGCCGGGCCCCAGGGGCCTGCAGCCGCAGCAGTTTGAGGAGCAGAGGGTCCACTCGCCACCCCGGTTCACCTCCGGCCAGAGGGCGCCCGCACCCCTTCCTTTCGGGGGGCCCAGGGGCGCCGCGCCCTTCCCGGACAAAAGCGAGCCAGCGCCTCCCCGCTTCCACTTCCAGGGCCAGGCAGCCTCGGGGAAGCTCCCGCCCCGGCCCCTGCTGGAGCTGCCCAGCCACCCGCCGCACCGGAAGGACCGCTGGGACGAGGGGGGCCCGGCCCCGGCCCTGCCGCCCGGCCCGCTGGGGCCCGAGGCCGAGGCTCAGTGGGCCTCTCCCGACTTCCGCGAGGGCAAGGGCCACGAGTACCGGAGCGCCGGCTTCGAGGCCCGGCCACGGGAGCGCTTTGAGGCCGGGCCCAAGGAGAAGGCCGCGGACGAGCCGGAGGCCTCGCAGCCTGACAGCCGGCAGGGCCGCGCCTTCGACGAGCGCCGGCGGGAGCGGGAGCGCGGCAGGAACTGGAGCCGCGAGAGGGACTGGGACCGGGGCCGCGAGTGGGACAAGGGCCGCGAGCGCAGCGCCGGCCGGGACAAGGACCGGGAGTGGGACAAGGGCCGCGAGCGCAGCCGGGACAAGGAGCGGGAGTGGGAGCGCAGCCGCGAGCGCAGCCGCAACCGGGAGCGGGAGCGGGAGCGTCGGCGGGACCGCGGCCGGTCCCGCAGCAGAGACCGCGACCGGGACAAGGGCCGCGAGCGGGCCCGCGAGCGCAAGGAGCGCAGCAAGAGCAGGGACAGGGCGCGGGAGCCCAAGGCCGACGCCCCGCGCGCCGACGTGGCGGCCCAGAGCTAGGGGCCCGCGCCCGGCCGCCACCTGCGTGTCTGGCCGTGGCTATGAACTCCGATGCAGCATAGAATATTCTGGACTGCGGAAATTACTGTAATTTTGTGTATGATGGTTTCTTACGAAATTCCACGTCTCTACAATTCTGATGCTTTTTTAAGGAAAAACAGAAACTTACTCTTTCCATTTAAAACGACCGAAATGGGAAGCACCTCCAGAAGCACATTGCTTTCTCGCTGCAGTGTCTGCAGTGACCCGACTCCGCCCGCAAGGGACCCTCGCTCCTTCCCCACCTGGCCCCTCTGGGTTTCTTTGCCCCCAAAGCTGCTTTTCAGGTAGGAAGTTCCCTCTGCTCTGCAGGAAAGGAGGAGCCTGAAAAGCACTTGCCTTTGTCAGAAATTTGAATTGCAAATTTCAGCCTAGAAACAAAAAAAGGCAGTTTCTCAGTTTTGCTCAGTTTTTGTATAGCTAGCGCCTTAATCCTTTTTTTTCTTCCCGGAAACATGGTTAAAAGCAACATCTGCCCCAGTAGATCCTACTGCATTTTAAATAAAGATGTGTTTCTAAAACGTTAGAATTTACCAGCCTACAGAGAAAGTCGAAGAAGACGCAATCACGCGTCCGGGTCCCGGCCTGCGGGTGGCTGTGGAGACTGACTCACCCACCACGGAGGCAAAAGCTTTTCACTGTGAAGCGCTTCTGGCCATGGGTTTTTCAAGTACTTCTGAAGTGTGAAATAGAGAAAGCCTAATTTATTTGACTGTACAAATCCACTTTGATAATTTTTTTATATTTTCATAAACTTTCGCAAATATAAAATTAGAGAATTTTATTTGTTCTTTGGAGTCTCCTCCATGTATGTCACTACAGGGTCCCCTCCCGAGCACACACGTTTCTGTTTGGGCCGTCGGAGCAGAAGCCACCGGGCACTTGTCCAGTGGCATTGCATTGGTGTCCAGCTCAGCGTCTGACGTGAAGTGAAGGCTTCCTACTTGTCAAACGTGCGTTTCTAATTTAAATACACAAATGTAAAAATCAAGAGTGTTTCTTTAGGTTGACTTGATAGACATTTCTGTAAATTGTATTTTATATTGCAAAGTATTATATCACTGTACATTGAGATGGAACTTCATAGGTTTTGTTACTTGAAGTAGAATAAACACCGAGAAGACTCTGCCTCTGCCTCCTCGCTTCCTCCTTCCTTCCAGCTGTGTTCCAGCTGTGCCGAGCAGCCTGGTCGGGACTCCCCGCCCAGGCCCACATGCTGGACGGGGTTTACCGTAGCAGGCTGGCAAGCGGGGCACGTGGCAGGCGGCCGCGCAGGGCTCCCACTCTCGCCCCCCAAAGGTTAGGCTCATTTCGTCCTGTTCCAGCTGGGATCTTTTGCAGGCTCCAGAAATCTGGATGAGGGGGGTGGGCGGATGGCCCTCTGCCGGGACAGAGCGAGCCTGTCACCAGGGGGTCCAGCGGTCCAGGAGTCCCTGGAGGGAACTCTTGTCCCCACCAGTGCCGGCCTTCAGACTGCATTCAGCTCATGCCAGCGGGCCCTGAACTAGAATGGCCGCCCACCCCCCATCTCTCGCAGCCACAGCCCACCCCTGTCAGCACCTCTGCCTTAGGGAAGGTGCCTGTCGGAGATGGGTGGAGTACAGATTTCACAGTACCCGGGGCTGGGCCATGCCCACGTCCAGGGAGAGAGTGCCCTGCTTCCTGCCAATGCCCAGGCCTAGGGCCCACTCCCGCCAGGGTTCTGGGACGCACTGTGCCCCCCATGTTCTCTTGCCCTCCGTGCCCCTTGTTCCCCAGGCTTCCTGTGCTCCCGGTTCCGTGCTCTCCGTGCTCCCTGTGTTCCTCGTGCTCCCATGCTTCATGTTTCTGGCTTGGTGGAGGGACATGAGCCATCCCGGGGCAGGTCTGAACTCTAGCAGTTGTCCCTCCAGACCAAGCATGTCCTCTCTCTGCAGGAATCAGGGGACACTGACAGGCTCCAGGAGGCCCCTACATTCCTGAACCTCGCCCCTAACAGACACCCCATCCCCGGCTGGTGCAGCCCCTTCCGGGCCACTGACGCACTGCCCTGAGGAACAGAGGCTGGTGGCAGTGGATGAGCGCTCGGAAGCCGGCGAGGCCCTTTCCGGCTCAATGAGCCCCTTCCAGCCGGCGAGGCCACCGCTGCGTCCAGACCAGCCTGCCTGCTGCGCTCCATCCCGCCGCACAGCATCCCCGGGCCCCCTCATCTCCGGCCTGAGCTCGCCAGTGACCGCGGTGGGTTGCCTCCACTCACAGCCTCTGCTCCTCTGGCTTGCTTCGCCCGTTCTCTTGGTCTTCTCAGAGAACCAGTTTATGCTTCCGCTGGTTCTGGGCTTGGGCCACAGGCTGCAGTGCTCAGGGGCTGCTCCTGGCGCTGTGCTCAGGAATCGCTCCTGGCAGTGTTCGGGGGACCATATGGAATGCCAGAAATCAAACCTGGGCTGGCCACGCGCGAGGCAAGTGCCCTCCCCGCCGTGCTACGTCTCCACCCCTACACTTGGAAATATTTTTCCTCGTTGGCTCTTAGACTTTTTTTCTTCCCAGGTCCCCCACCCCAGGGCTTCGAGCTGTGGTTCCCACCCCAGGGTCCCTCTCAGATCCACTCCTGTGTGAACTCCACGTTAGCGTCCACAGTCCAGCCTGGCTTTGCTTCCGGAAACCTGTTGAGCCCCAGGGATGAGCGTGCCAATGCTTGCAGCATTGGAGCTCTGTGTACGGTGACCTTTACACGTATATGCAGGTGTAGGGTTCACATGCATGCATGGCTGTGATATGCGTGTGTGAGTGTACTGCGTGCCTATAGGAGTGCATATTGCACCCAGCTGACTGCAGCGATGGGGATACTTGACTGTAACTGCATACATGAGTGCAGCTGATACTCGTAGGAGTGCACATGTCTGACGGAAGCTGTGCACATGGATGGATGTAGCAGTGCAAAGTGTGGGCGTTGTTCCAGGGTACATACATGAATGTAGCATGGCTGTGTACAGCTGTCCTTGTGCATGTACATGGGGATAGTTGTAGACATGCACGCACACGTGGGTGTACTGCCCACAATCCTGAGAGTAGTTGTATGGTGTGGGTATTGCTCTGTCCAGTAGAGTTGTGGCTGTACCCAAATGTGATTTTCCTGTACCTGAGTCCGAGTGTATCGTGTGCATGTGTGCGTGTCCTGGGTGTATGCGTGGGGATGAGTGTAGCCTGTGGGTGTTGCTGGGTGTTTCTGGGGAGAGCTGTGTGCTTCTAGGAGCATGCTGTGCCCATGCATCGGTGTAGTTTGTATACATGCCTGAATGCAGCTCTGTGCGTCCATGTGTAGTTATGAGCATGCATGAGGTTGGCTGTGCTGTGCATGCGTGTAGTCGTGTATATGTGTGACTGCAGCAGTTTGCACAAGTGAGTGTGGCTGTGTGCACAAGCAAACCTGGCTGTATGCATAGGTGTGCAACTGTGTATCACTCTGGCTGTGCCCGTGCACGAGTGTGACTGTGCCTGAACACGAGTGTGACTGTGTTTGAGCACGAGTGTGACAGTGCATATGAGTGTGGCTGTGTCCGTACACGAGTGTGGCTGTGTCCAAGCACAAGTGTGGCTGCGCCTGAGCACAAGTGTGACTGTGTATACATGTGAGTGTGGCTGTGAACACACACGTGAGTACAGCTGTGTCTGCTGATCATTCCGCTGAATCACAGGTACTGGATACGCAGGAACCACCTCACACTCTTACCCGCCTGACATCCAGGGAGAGCTGGTCCCCCCCGCCCCAGCCAAGATGCCTTCCTAGTATCCTGCTTTTTTTTTTTTTCAGATTAGGCTCCCCTGTGCTGTCATATGTCCCCCATCCCTGAGTCTCTTGGAAGGACATGTGTCCCTGCTCTTCGTCACAGTGTGGATGTGCAGGACACAGAGTCCGTCTAGCCGCCGTCTGGCATTTCTGTCCGTGTCTCCCACCAGGGCATGGCCAGGTTCTCAGCGCTCGCCTCTGCTTCCTGCTGGGGGAGCAGCCCCCTTGGGGAATGGCCTCGCTTCCCACAACAGCGCCCAGGCCCGTCTGCCCTGAGCAGCCCTCTGCCAGCAGGGACATGGCTGGAGAAGAGAGGAGGGAGCACAGGGAGACAGAATGGACAAGCCAGCCACCACAGCCCGGCACAGGGCCTCAGCCCTGACCAGTCTCCACAGGCTGGAGTGTCCCCTGGCCCCTCGACGGTCTGCCTCTCTCTGCATCTCCTCCTTCACCCGCCCATTGCCCTGGAGCCAGAAGCACCCGTGTCGAATCTGTCTCTCTGTGGTGCTTCCGTGGCCGTCCCTTGTCACGCTCATGGAAGCCCTGGAAGCCAGGTCATTCTCGTGACCTCCGTGCCCAAGGGCTCTCAAAGGGGCGCCTTGCAAATAGCAGCCTCGCGTGGCGGAGACAGTGGTCTGGGCCGCTGACAGAATCTATTTCCCTCCACACACGGTCATCTCCATCGCGAGGCCCGCAGAGAGCAGTACCCACAGCAGACCGGGGCTTCTCAGAAAGGCATTGGGGTTCTGCTCAGGGCTTTACTCCAGGCGGTACTCAGGGGACCATAGGAGACACTGGGGATCAAACTCGGGTCAACCATATGCAAGGCAAACACCCTACCCGTGTACTATCTCTTCAGTCCCCCAAGCTCTTAATTCAGTGGATAACTGCCTTGCACGCAGCCACTCCAGGTTCAATTTCCAGCATCCATACGGTTCCTCAAGCACCGCCAGAAAGTGATCTCTGAATGCAAAGCGAGGTGTGAGCTCTAATCCCTGCAGGGTCAGGAGCCCAAAAAACCGTAGTAATAAAACTTTTTTTAATTGAATCACCATGAGAGACACGGTTACAAAGTTGTTCATGATTGGGTTTCAGTCATGTCATGTTCCAACGCCCATCCAGTATACGCTAATATTCCAACACCAGCTGGTATGTATTTCCCACCACCAATATCCCCAATTTCCCTCCTGCCACCCCACCTCCCAGCCTGCCTCTATGGCAGACACTTTTCTTCCATCTCTCGGTCTTTCCTGCTGGGCATTATAGTTTGCAGTAAAGGTCATCTTGCATATCCTTTAACTTTTCAGCACGCAGTTCTTGTCCAGGGAAATCATTTCCAACTCTCAAGAGTGGTCCCTTATCTGTCCCTGTTGCCTTCTCCCCACCCCCGAAAGAAAACTACCTTAATTCCTTGGCCGGTGTTTGGACCGGGGCCGGCTTCTGCCTTGCCAACAGCGTTTCACGCCTCAGGTGTGGGGCAACTGTTGGAAGACAGGTGGACTGAGGAGTTGGAAGGGAACCCCAGCACCCCACGGTTCAGGAGCTCACACAGCATCACTGAAGGGCAACTTCTGGCCTTCGGGTGGCGGGTGACTGGGCCCAACGTCACCCTGGGCACTGGGTCTGTAGGTGCAACCTGGATGTTTGGTTTGTTTTGGAGCCACGCCTGGAGGTGCTCAGGGGTTCCTCCTGGCTCTGCATCAGGAATCACGCCTGGCCGCGGTGCTCAGGGAACCACAGGGGATGCTGATGACTGAGCGCCGGCAAGTCAAGCGCTCAGCCGATGTGCGATGGACGTCTCGTGACCCATAGCAGTGCGGCGTCTGGAAAGCCTGGCGGACGGCCCAGTGGCGTCCAGCGACCGTCCAGCCATACACCCGGCTTCATGAGCAGTCAGCTCACGCCAGCGCCCTGCCCCGCCAGCGCCGTGGTCCCAACAGCCTGGCGCACGATGGCTTGTTGGGTGGGACAGCTAACCCGGGGTCAGAGTCTGTGCACTGGGGGGCTGGGAGCTGAGGACCCCGCAGCCTGGGTGGGCGGGCGCTCGATCCGGGTGCGGTAGGCCGGGGTGCGGCCTGGCCGGCTGCGGGCTCTTGGCTCCGGGATCCGGACAAGCCCTCCAGGCCCGCAGGCCCGCCCCAGGTGCGGTCCCGCCCCCTGGGGCCCCGCCCCGCCCCGCTCAGGAGGCCCCGCCCCGCAGGAGGAGGCCCCGCCCCTCCCAAGGAGGGCCCGCCCCCCGCCGCCGCGGCGCGCGCACCCCGACGGCGCGGCCCGGCGGCGGCGGCGGGGCGGTTGGCGGGGGCGGGGCCGCCGCGCAGGGGGTGGGGTTACCGTTGAGGGGCGGGGCGGCGCAGGCGCGCTG